TAAATAATAATTATTATAATTATAGTTTTTTTTTTAAATTATAGCTTATTTTTTATTATATTTATAAATAATATTAATAAATTTATAGTATTTATAAATTAATTCTATATTAAAGTTTAAATTTTTATTATTAAATAATTTATAAAAAGTTAAAATATTAATTTTAACTTCTTTTTAAAGTTTTACTTTTATTAGTTTCTTTAGGTAATGTTTTAATTTATTTTTATTACTTTTATATATAAAATATATATTATTATAATAAGCAGTTTAACTAAAGCTATTATAAAATAGTTTAATAATAATATTTATTTAAGCTTTATTAGCTTTATTATTTTTTTTAAAGCTTTTTTTATTATTTTTTTATTTTTTTTTAAAATAATAATATACTTCCTTATAGCCTAGTTTACTATAAAAATAACATTTTCCTTTAAATTTAATTACTTTAATAATATTAAAGTTTATTTATTTTAATTAAATTTTATTATCTTTTATAATATATTTTTTTTATTTTTTACTTTAATTTATATAATATTAAAATTTTTATTAAAAAATTAATTAATAACTATATTTTTTTAGTTTATATTTTTAATTTCTTTTAAAGTTATAATTATTAATATTAATAGCCTTTTAAGTATATTTAATAAATTTAATTTTACTTTAATTTTTTTTAAATAATTTATCTTTAACTTTAAACTTAATATTATTATAATAAATTTCTTTTTTTATTTCTTTAATTTAATTAACTTTAGTAAGTAAATATAAAAAAGTAATAATATACTTAAATAAAGCTTTTTTTTATTATAAAAACTTAAATTCTTTTTTTATTTTTTTTTTTTTATTTATAGTTTTAAAAAATTTCTTTAATTAATTTTTAAAAGTTTTATAATTATTAAAGATTTTATTTATTTAAATTTTTATTTTAATAAATTCTTTTTTTATAGTATTATAGTTTATTAAAATAAACTTAAATTATTTAACAGCAGTTTTTATAAAGCAGTTAACTATAAAAAAAACTTAATTTTTATTATTTTTTAAATTAATTAAAAAATAGTTAAAATAAATATTTAATTTAATAAAGAATTTATTTATCTTTAAAATATCTTTATTAAAATTATTAAATTATTTAAACTTAATAAATTTTTTTTTTTTTTATTCTTTAATTAATCTTTTAGTTTTTTAATTTATATAAAAAATAAATTAATTATTACCTGCTTTATAATAAATAATAAATATTATTTATAAATCTTTTTATTTATAAAAGTAATTCTTTATTAACTATTATTTATTATATTTTTATTATTATTTATAGGTTTAGTAATTATTTAAATAAAAGTTATTAATATATAATAAACTATATATTAAATAGTTAATATAAAATAAATTCTTAAAGGATAAACCTAAAATAAATTCTTTAGGTTTATATTAAAAAATAAATTAAAAAACCTATAGGCAATAATATTATAATAATAATTATTAATAAAAATTAAAAATACTTTTTAATTTATAAATATAAAACTATATTAATAATTAATTATTTAAGTTATTTAAAAAAAGCATAAAAAGTAAACTTATATATTTAATTAATTAAATATCCTTAATGTATTTAATAGTTAAATTTATTAAATTACATTTAACATACTTAATAATAAATTCTATTAAGTAGTCTATAATTAGTTAATAGATTATAGTTAATCCATTTATGCCTACCCGGTAGGCCCATTGTCGCGACCTTAAGTGTTGGGTCATGACATAAAGCCTAAAGCCATTGACTTCACACAGACGCTCCGTTGCATAGTGAAATCTTAAGGGTGGAGAATTGCTCAGTAAGAAATTAACCCTTTTATATCATCTGGTTGAAGAATGAGGCGAGGACTATAGATTATAATAAACACCTTTTTGCTCATTTAATGCCCTTGGATTTGTGCCCAATTGTTTTGTGTTTAATTCCTTCTTAAGCAAAGAAGAGAAAGTTGCTGAATATGTCACGTGTCATACCATGTGATGCGCCGACTACACAGTGTATATATCTTGGTAATAATACTGTATGATATTTAGCTGGTTTAAGAATGAACCGACAAGAACAGCGACTATGATAAATACTCTTCTGCTGATTTAATATCCTTGAATTTGTGCCTAATAGTTTTGTGTTCAATTGCTTCAAAAGCAAGGAGGAAAAAAAAAAACGATACACAATTAGAGACGTCATTATGCCGCTCTAAGTGAGCTAATCATTCTCAGCGTCCTATAATTTTTCTTGCTTCTTATTCAACATCCTTCCATGTCGTGGCCCTGATTCATTTTTGCATACTCCATTGCGAATACTGGAAAATACAATGATAACGATGAGCCGTGGAGCTTTACACAATGGCTTTCCCAGATAGGCCCGTGGCACATCTTCTTGGCTCCAATGGTACGTTTAGCTTTGTTTATACCCAGCACAAATGCTTGTGTTGGAATTTCCACCATAACTAGCCTCTTTTCTTACACTCTCTAGGCCCCGTTCATGCTGTAACTTATTCTGCTTCTCCCGGAAATTACATTCTCACCGGGTCGGCAGATCGTTCAATTCGACTGTATAATCCCTTCCCCAGCACGGCCATCCCTGAGATCCGGCCCAGCGCAAAGCCGGCCGTGCCACAGGGGCGCCTCATCCAGACGTACGCCGCGCACGGGTATGAGGTCACCAGCCTCGCCGTCGCGTCCGACAACGAGAGCTTCGTGTCTGGGGGCGGCGATCGCGCGGTCTTTTTGTGGGACGTGAGTAAGGCGGTGACGACGAGGCGGTTCGGGGGCAACGCGCAGGGGCATTCGGCGCGGATCAACTGCGTGAGCTTCGCGGGCGCGGGGGACTCGCTGGTGGTGAGTGGTGGGTTTGACACGACGGTGCGAGTGTGGGATGTGCGCAGCACGAGCTTCAAGCCGATTCAGGTGCTGAGTGAGGCGAAGGATGCGGTGACGAGTCTGGCTGTGATGGGGCCGGAGGTGGTTGCGGGGAGCGTGGATGGGAGGGTGAGGAGCTATGATGTGCGAATGGGGAGATGTACTACGGATGTGATGGGCGCGAGCGTGGTGAGTTTGGATATCACGAGAGACGGCAAAGCCATGCTGGTAGGGTCATTGGACAGCAAGCTACGGTTGATTGATAGAGAACATGGGACGTGTCTGAGGGCATACTCGGATCCGTTGTGGAAGAACGAGGAGTTGCGGCTGCAGTCGATGCTGGGCGGTAAGGAGAAGTACGTGGTGGCAGGAGATGAGATGATCGGAGAGACAGATGCCGGCGGTGCGGGGAGGATATGGGCCTGGGATATCCTGTCAGGCAAAGTGGTGGCCAAAGTGACGGTGCCATGGGGCCCCGTTGGCCACGAGGTGAAGAAGGTAATTGGGAAAGATGGCAAGCCAAAGGTGCGAAACAATGTCATCAGCTGCATGGCATGGCGGGATGGAGGCTGGGGAGATCAGTACTGTGTGGGAGGGACGTCTGGAGTGGTAACCGTATTTGGAACGTTATAGTAATACAGAGCATATGGCGCATGGAGTAAACTTTTTGGTTCAGCGGCACTTCATTGAATCTTGTTCTTTTATTTTGCCCTCGTTGAGGAGCTATACTGCGTGTCATGGTAGAATTAATCGAATAAGTATATAGATATATAAGATAGCCATGGCAGCGGATATTGCGAAGGCTTGGATGATGTGATATTTTCATCCTAAAATTTCTCATAATATGGCAATAATGATACTAAGAGAATATTTCATTTCTTGATGTAGTAACTGCCCGACACAATGTGATATAAAGATTCGTGTATCAGGAGCGCGGTTCTCGGAGGTGTTATGTTGGAAAGGGATGAAGCTAGTTGCTTAATATTGGTTCTTCTCTCATTGAGATACTTTCCTTCAGCCCATACCGGCATATTTGAACCAGTTTGGCCTGCAGTCTTCTCGATGAAGGAATGGTTCACCATCTGTCAATCGGCCGGTGACGCAGCCCTTGCACTTGGGAGAATTGGGGCAGTTGAAGAAAGGAATGTGTTGATAACCAATATCTCGGAACCTGAGGAGTAGTTTAGTAAATACGAACCAATTGGGAGACCAGTAAAAAAAAAAAAAAAAAAAAAAAAAAACAGGTAGAAGACTAACCAGTGGATTTTGCTTGAATCCTCAAACAGGCCCAAGGCAATGCTGTGGACGGGTGCATCGCCCCATCGTTCATAGAAAAAGCCTCCAGCGCGATCGAGGTGCTCAAAGTAGTCTTCATATGCCTTGCTCCTCCAGAATTCCATATCAGCAACCTCAAAGTTGCTCCAGAAGTGGCATGTAGAGAAGCCCTGAGCCTCTCTATTGTGTTGGGGTCGTCGGGAATCGTCAACAACCCATTTAATAGCGCTACGCTCGTGTAGGTAGTTGGGACGATCGGCCAGGAACTTGACTGTCTGGGGCCACAAGGTAGGCAGGGTATGAGGGTCGTCGTATAAGGTAATGGTGAAGCCGTATGTCTTGTTGTTGTCCTGCATATAGCGGAAAACGTCGTAGTCGACATCGCAAAAGAAGTGCACCTTGGGTTCGACGCGCCAGTAGTAGCGAACATCCTGAAGGGCGGGATGCTTGTAGAACATGCCACTGTTCCAGCGACACATCTGATGGTATGACATCATATCGGCGTATTGAACGCCATTCTTCTTCAGTACGGCCGCGGATTCTTTGAAGATGGCGGGATCGATCCAAGAGGGCGCGTCCCAATGCTCTTTGGGGATGAGTTCTATGATTGCCACCAGTCAGTCCTGGAATTGGTCTCGTCATGTCGCATAACAAGTAACGTACCGTAGTTGCACTTGGCATTGGTCGCGGCGCTTGTCTTCTTCTTGAACTCTTCGGAGAAGGGCTTGTCGTTGAAGAAAGTCCATGGGTAGTTAAATTTGTTGTTCCACGTCCTCTCGAGGTCTACCATGGACGCTACCATATCGTCCACCTCTTCATTGCGGACAAGGGCCAGCAATGTGGCACTGATTCGATCGGTGTCTTCAGCGTCTGGCGCATACTTCTTGGACGTTCGTACGAGAGTTCCCTCAGGTTCGCCGGTAGCTGCAGAGTTGAAAAAGCTGTTAGACTATCCTCCCTTGCGTCTCTTTGTTGTTTGGATGCACTAAAGACTTACGATCCAAGTTGGGGTCGCGCTCAAAGTTGATGTACCGATCGCCTGGGCTGTTGTATCCAGATGATGGCTTGAGGACCTGGTATAAGAAGAAGCACCACAGCACAATGGCCAGGACTGCTAGAGTCCGTACTGGCCGGGCTATGGCCATGATGTAGAGGATGCGATGATTGCGAAAAGCCCGACGGTAAGGCTGCAGGTTTAATTATCCATGGGAGGACGCTCTTCTTCGGCCAGAGCACAAAAGAGGCAGGGATTGATCAATGAGTTGGCTGCTCAACAGGATTTGTTCGCAGCACGCCTATTCGATTCGACCGGGCATCCAACCGTCCTTGTCGTGTGGCCTTTGCGAGTGGATGCCGCTATGGTTGCGTCTCCAAAACAGATTCAAGTTGAAAGGGGCGTAGTTGTTTTATGCTATGGAGGGACGCTAAGAAAATCGCCTGCCGATGAGAGGTTCAGAAGGTCTCTCCCCCACACACGCGCTAGAGACGCGCTAGAGCTGGCCCGTTAAGTGCCATTGAGCTGTTGACTGTATCACATGCACAGTCTGTTGATGCTTCAAATACGCAACTTCACGCCATCATCAGCTTCGGTTGGCCGCCATTGCTGCTGAAAATGCCAACCGCTGGCCATGGCCCATGCCGCAACTCTTGGGGCTCTCACTGGAGAGCTCATCGAAGCTGTCACAGGGCTTCCTAGTAAGGTGGGGAGGAGGGGAACTATGGATATCTTGTGGTAGCTTTTTGAGCTTCATGGACTGGAGAGGCTGACCGTTTGAATCGCGTGATATCAGACAAGATCCAGGAGATACAAGGCCCTTTACGATTCCACCTTGGCGACGATCAAATCTCAGGCATACCTCCGCACGAACCAGTTCGAGGTACAGCACGCTCTCGATGGACTGGAAGAACGCTTCCGAGTAAACAATCGGGATGACCTCGCCGACGAATTCCGCAGTAGCTTGGATAGACTGGAGGAGCACGCCACCAAGTGGCACCCGGAGATATTGGCTCTGCTACTCGGACTATCCGACCAACCGACCTTCAAGACGAAGCTCAGCGACCTTGACGCTGTACGATTGCGCGAAGAGCAGCTTAAGGAGACTTTTAGCTGGGAAAATGTTGCTCGAGAAGATGGCTGGGATGAGGATGAGCTTTTATGGCAATCGATTGATTACGCGCAAGAATCGGGGGACGAATTTTTCGAAGACGAGCCGGACGAAACACCCAAGGAAGCGCCGCTGCGTTATGCCAACGATGTCGATCCTAATCTACATAAGAAGGGAAGGACTGCCACCGATTATATCGTCCACCCCGAGGATACAGAGTTGCTGAAAGCTCTGCAGTCGGCGCAACAGTGGCGGATTGAAGTTCCTCAGAAAGATGATATAGGACTCATCCAGAAAATCAACATTTCAGAGACGCAAATCGTCCGAGAAGTTCTCTCTATGCTGCAGGGCCTGAAAACCACACTTTTTAATGACACCACCGGCTTACCTGAGCCAAATTTCCACATGCAAAGTATCGCCTGGGAGACATACAAGGCCGTTATACGCAACATTGCGGAATCTGGCCGGCGCATTCTGCTGCTTTGGAGGTTTGTTAGCCATCCACAAGTCATTCCGCATCTTCAGGCGTTTCAGGACTGCATCACAAAACGGCTTCGAGATTTTGACACGAAGCTCTCGCAAATAGAGGCTCGCTTTGCCGCCCCCACGGGCGAAGTGATATTTACCTTGCTATCTGTCATTGGAGAAATCACACCATGGCTGCAGCCGCTTCTTATCCTATCCGACATCATCGCACAGATTCAGGAGACTTCCAGGTCGGATACGTTCCGGTACCTAGAGCTCCTCTACGACGAAACAACGCTGGCTCAGCTAAGAGATGACATGGCTACCTATGAATTCCTTGCTCGAATATTTTTGGAGTGCTTTCAGGTATATATCCGTCCGATTCGCCACTGGATGGACGAAGGACGTATTTCGTCTGAAAACGAGATCTTCTTTATTGTCGAAAGACCGATCAAAGTACCCATGAGCCATATATGGCAAGATCGCTTCAATCTCCGCCAGACCGCAGAGGGTGCATTGCATGCTCCAAAGTTCCTTAAACCTTCTGCCCACCGAATATACAACGCTGGAAAGAACATTGTTGTGCTGCGACTCCTAGGTAAATATGAGCTAGGCAACTCATCTACTGCTGAAGAACCATCTCTGGATTTCGAGCATGTCTGCCCGGAAGGGCTTGGTCTGGCTACATTCCCAGATCTCTTTGGTGCTGCCTTCAACCGATGGATCCAGAGCAAGTACCGCAAAACTTCTACCACATTGAAAGATGTTCTTTTTGATATGTGTGAGCTCTCGTCATCATTGGATGCACTACAGGCACTGTATCTCATGTCAGACGGGTTTGCCACTGCATCGTTTGCAGATCATTTATTCGATAAGCTGGAAAACTTGAATCCAGTTTGGTATGATCGGTTTGCTCTTGTTGGAACTGCACAAGATGCCTTTGCGCCGCTACTTGACACAAGCCGTTTATCTGTAAGTGTTAGTGTTCATGGCACACGTATGACTGTATCGGACGCCCGGGGTTCGATCAGAGCGGCCTTGCCATATGTTATGATGGATTACAGACTGGCATGGCCAATCCGAATTGTTGTTTCTGAAGAGAGCCTTGAAAACTATCGATCCCTTTTCACGTTTCTATTACAGCTTAGACGGGCAATCCACGTCCTCCACAAGCCTAGGATCCTCGACAATTTCCTGACCGACAACGAGTATTGGGATGAACGTGCTTTGTTCTATACTGCTCGCAGCAATCTATTATGGTTCTGCACAACTATTCAATCATACTTGGCAACACTTGTCCTAGAGCCCAATGAAAGGGGGATGCGGCGTGATCTGCTGGTGGCCGAAGATGTCGATTCAATGATTTCGGTGCACGCTGCATGTTTGGAGCAAATGATTGAGCAAGCCTGCCTGGGGAGCAAGCTGGCACCCATACGGGAGCGGATTCTTGATATTTTGGACCTGGCTATTAAGCTAGAGTTGGCAAGAGAGGGAAAAGCTGCGATGGACGGATCTGAGCCATCTCACCTGTTTAGACGGGAACATGAAAGCAAAGAGGGAAATGCAAGAGAAGACGGGCTAACTAGTGAGGATTATATACATGTGCTGGAGGAGATCACAGCCGACTTCACCAAACACCTAAGCTTTATTTGCTCAGAGCTGAAAAGCGCGGCCAGAGCCTCGAGCGATACTCAGTCAGCGAAATGGGACATTTTGGCAGATATGCTGCAGACGGGTGACAGAGGCAAGTGATGAAGGAATAGAGAATTAGCAAAGAGTTGAGTAAAATAATCTCCAAGTATACATCAAAAGTCCCCACGATCCATCATGCCATCAATCATGTGCAAGTTTGCCTGCCCTTGATTGGTGGGAGAACACGAACTGCAATAAATCCCTAGTCTGCATACCTACTACTACATGGTATGTATGCTGTTGGATCTCGGTTTACCAAAGTTCCCGTTTACATGCACTTCGTATGCAGCTGGTTCTCGAGCCGTCGTAATTTAATCACCCCCACTTGCCGCACTCACGATAGAACCAATCAAGTTCAGCGTCCAAGAAGTTAATGTTAAGCTTAATGGATGGCTGCCTATTCACGTAGTGAGGAGAAAACCTCTCGTCAGCTTCTGCTCATGCATCCGCATGCTGCGATGGGTTTATAGCAAAGGCCCACAGATGAGCACAACCCAAGCGCCGCTGAATCTGCCTCCTGTTGATGCTAGGAACAATCCTCTAACAGCGACTCTATCCCAATAATCCACGGCCATGGATCATGTGGATGAGCGATCGCGTTTGCTCCCGCACCAGCCTGATGAAGACTCGGGCGATGCATCCGCAGCGACTTCACCGCGGCCCGAAACCAGCGCAGCGTTTCCGCGCCGCAATCTGATCCATTGCATCCTCATCCTCACCCTCAAATTCTTGTTCCTGTTAAGCTTCAATTTCCAGGTTGGCCCGCTGCTCACGGCGGTGCTCACGCGCAACGTCTGCCACCGCGAGCATCCAGAGTTGGATCCAGGCAGCCCCGAGTGCTTCATCCACGGGGAGGTCAGGTCAGAGCTGGTGCTGTTTACAAGATGGAACTACGCGTTGAATAATGTGCCGGGCATTCTTACTGCTCTTCCGTATGGGTTCTTGGCAGACCAGTACGGGCGAAAGCGCGGGTTATATCTATCTCTCGTAGGCGTGGCCTTGGCACAATTATGCTCCATTATCATCTGTAAGTTTTTTTCTTTTCTTTTCTCTTTCTATAGCGAATCAAGGTTGAGCAACGACAATGAGCACGGCTGTTAAAAAAGGAAAATTCTAACATAAAGATTGTAAGACTTTTGGCCCGATGTATTTCACTATCGACTGGCATTGATATCGCCATTTTTCATGTTTATCGGGGGAGGTAGTGTCGTCTTCTCGGCGTTACTCTTCGCGATGCTGTCAGATCTTGCCCCTGATGCCTACCGGTAAGAGAACTGGATGATTCTACAGCTGGCAATATTCTATTGATTACTGATTATATGTTCTTCATTGAAGTACTACGACCTTTTTCGGCATGGCTGGTTCAGTGATAGCTGCTGGGCAACTCGTCTCCCCTTTGGTTTCAATATTATCACAGAAGAACATCTGGCTCCCAGTCTTCATCGGAGTCAGTCTCTACATCCCGATCGTTGCCATTGCATTGTATCTCCCCGAGACTCTCGATCGGAAGGCGTTGCCAGATGTCGTGGCGCCAGACCTGGCCGACACTGCTCTGGACAACCAGGAGGCGCGCGATATAGATGTTCAGAACCATGACAGGCCTTCGTGGATCCATCGGTGGCGCTCGCTTACCGAAGGCACTCACAGGTTTCGAGTGGCTGCTCTATCCATGTTCTGGGGCGATAGGCAGGTCACGTTCCTGCTGCTGACCGTTTTCCTCACAGTTCTAGGAGAGGGCGCGACTTACATACAATCCAAATATATCACTAGGCGATTTGAGTTGTCTTGGTCAACGGTGAGCACTCCTTCTCCTCGTTAAACCTCAAGCTTCAGATGGGGAAAATAATTATAGCTGACATCGTCCGTATAGATTTATTATATTATATATTGCTGGGCTGCTCTCAGTGCCATCCTGGTCCTACTTTTTCTCCCAGCAGTCAACTATCATCTTACGACAAAGATGGCGATGCCGCCGCAAAAGAGGGATCTGCTTCTTGCACGGATCGGCATCATTCTACTGATCGTGGGATATCTAGTGGTGGGACTCGCTGAGACGAGCAGCCTTATGCTGATTGGTAAGAATAAAGAACCCCTCTGCTCTAAAGATACAGGACCATCTCTGTCTACTGGGTCAATTATTTTTATCTGCTAACGAAAGTCGAATTGCTAGGTCTCGGTATCTCATGCTTCGGTTTTCCATTAGAGTACATTCTTCGTGGTCTACTTGCCCAACTGGTCGAGGCACATAAGCGTGGTCTACTCTTCACTTCTATTGCCCTGGTGGATAACCTAGGTACTATTTTTACTTATCTGTTGATGACTTTGTGCTTCGATCTTGGCGAGGCTGGTGGTGGACGATGGTTGGGTGTGCCGTTCTTAACAGCTACTTTCTTTTTTGCCCTTGCTACGCCTATTTTATACTACATCCGTGTGATGTAGTGCACTATGCTAGCAGCGCGTCTTGGGATAATGAAGTAAACCATCAAGACGGCAAGACAGACTCATATCTCCGACGACCTATAAATAAACAGAAATTTGGAGGGTGATATGGGGATACTTTCTTGAATACATTATCCAATAGCCAATTGAATTTAATCTCGTCAGCGCCTTTCTTCTATGTGTAGCCCTTGTTCAACTGATCTGCAAGAAATTTCATGATGGGAAACATTTCCTCTCTGTCTCTTGGCATAGCCACCTCTTTCCTCCTCCAATTGACTACCCTCACTTCTTTGAATTCTCTCTTAACCGCATCCGCCTCATCTTCATCCAGCTGACACACCAGCACCGGGGTACTGCTCTTTTCGCGACTACTCAACGAGGGGATCATGGACAATGGCAGCGGACCGCCAATCGAAACGACACCTTTACACGTCTTTCCGAGTTTTTGCTTCATAGCGTCGTCGCCATCTGAGATGTCAACTATGCGCTCGACAGTTCGCAGCCGAGATGCCAGTCCCAGAGCCAAGGAGCCGCCCTGTCCGAACCCGAAGAGGAGAATGTCGTTCATTTCCCATCCGCACTTGTCAATCAGTGTCCCCTTGACCAGCTTCTCCACGATCAGCCTCGACGCCTTGTCAAAACCTGGGTCGGCGTCGATGTCGCCCGTGTTGGTGTCCACGCTCAGGTCATCGCCCCAGTGGAAGTTCTGGCCCCCGGCGGCATCGGGAATGAAGGCCGCTGGAAGGGGAGAAGTGCCGCGGACGGATATGGCGAGGACGCCGGGGAGGGAGACGTTGCGGGCGAAGGTGGCGAAGGGGACTTCGTGATCGCCGAGGCCGTGGAAGAGGATGAGGATGGAGGTTGTTGATTCGGGTGGGTTTGGGAAATGGAGTTTGTGGGGGAGAGTGGAAGAGATCGGGGAGAAGTCTGCTTCGGTGGGTATCTTTGGAGGCATGATGAGCTATTGTCTGTGAAAAAAAAAAAAAAATTGAGTGAATGAGGTTGGTTGCTGAGTTGCCGCTCTTATGATGATGATTATGATGATGCCGTCATAAGTTTTATCTCAGACGGTGATGAAAATCGGAATGGAGAGCTAATTGTTTATGAATGGAGAGCTAATTGTTTATACAGTAATTGACTTAAATGAGCCAAGTGCAATTGTGTGTGTAATGGCAAAGTCTTAATTATTCTGAATGCAGTTGTTGAGGCTGTATGACAAGAGATCATGAGGATTATACTGTAATATTCACCAATCCGCATTTACGGCGCGGAGGGGATATCGGAATGGAGCATTGTCCCGGCGCCGGAGGGTCCCACTATCAAATCGTCCCAAAGGCAGGCCGAGAAGGGCCAACCCGAGCAATTCATTTACAACGAACCTTATTCATCATCACCTAAATCATAAATAAAGTGTCAAGAAACAACTATGCGTATTCATTTATCCAGATTGCTTCTATAAAGCTCATATACCAGACACACAATTTATCCAATAGCAAACGCAGATATCAACTCAGCAGCAAAAGGGGAATCATCGTCGTCGAACTACTCTATGGTCATCCTCGCTCCTGGCCTTCACCTTGGACGGCCCAGCCTTCATCGGCGTCCACTCGCCTTCCGCCGACCAGATGCCGGCCTTGGTATAATCTCCACTCGAGCTTCCTTGCATGAATGCAAATCTAAAGTATTCTGGCAGGTCTAGGCTGCCGTTTCTGTGCCAAACAAAGCTGTCTTGTCGGTCGATGATATCGTCAAAGTATCCTCGGAAACGCTCTACGTCATTAACCAGAATGCTGATGCCGTCGTAGGCATTGCCGGAAGGCTGGTTCCAAGTGAACGTGATGTTGGACATGCTGTGCGCGCCCTCGCCAATGTGTATAACTGGCTGGGGAATGGTTGGCAGCAGTGTTCCCTTTTGTGCATCTCCTTGGAGAGCCGCAGGTGTCTCCAGCACAGGGTCAAAGCCCCAGCGGGCAATGCCATTAATAAAAAGCCCCACCAGGAGACCCTGGTAGAGCAACGATGGTCGTGTCTGCAAGCTTGTGCCTGGTAACAGCAGGAGGGCCAGGACATAATGATGAATGCGCAGTTGGAGCCCCGGCAGAGTCAAAGAGATGATGATGCCGAAAATGAAAAGGGCGTATAGTTTAATGTATTTGATGAATCGCCCCTCTTGTCTAAAGAAGAATACTTGCGAAACGGCAATGCTGAATATGATGATGACAATGACGGCCAGAGCCGCTCGGGCTCCCGGCTGTTGGTCAAGGTCATGCTTGTTGAGACGCTGGATGGGGATGAAATCCAAAGTATAGTTGGTCAGAGCGCCAACCCAGCAGGCGCCCAACCAGAGGACGGTCTTTTCGATTTGAGCAGTCAAGTGGTTGAGCGTGCGGCGGACGCCCATCTTGTCGTACATGACCCATGCGCAAAACATGGCAGGCACATATTTGCCCAGGATATTAGAGAACAGGTCTGTGACGGTCGAGTGCCCGGGCTGATCGAGCGACATGCCGACTGCCCAGAACAAGCCAGTGAAGGTAGGGAAGAAGAAGAGCGCCGGATTGGCCGTGAAAAGTGATAACACACTGGTGAAAACGACTGAGAGAGCCAAGATGGACCATCTCTCATCCTTGGCTGTACATTTGATATCTGGAACGAATCGGAACGATAGCGGGAAGTAGGAATCGAAGCTGATGCTCAGAATACCATTTCGCTGGGAGCTGATAAAGTCTTGTTGCTGACCAACAAGCTCCACGACGCCACAACCTCCCTTTGAGTCGGAATAGAGGCCGGCGTGGACAGCCGAGGCGCAGATGTACGAGTCGCCGCGATATGTAGCCAGCTCGGGATGGACGTCGCTGGACGGTCCTCCAATCACCAACGACCGGTAAACAATCTCTTGGTCGCCAACTGCTCTGGGATTCAGGACGTGGTAGCTGTCGCACGAGGCCGGGCATTGGAAAGCGAATCCACTGCCATTGAACGGTCTGCAGTCGTTTCCGTCCAAGCCGCACCCGTTGCCCGCGCTCCAGTATGTATCACCGCAGCCGATGGGCTGCGACTGGCCCCATCCCTCGACGGTGGAGGCAATCGTCTCTTGGCGCTTGACGAGCACAAATGTAATGACCCATACGGAAAAGTAAAGAAAGACGGTCCAAAAACGATAGGCCTTGGGCAAGAATCGCTCAACGAGGAACAGCGGGTATTCTTGCACGACAGGAAACAAGGGCTTTATGCGGTACGGCTGAGCGTTCGGCGGACCCTTTGACCATTTTCCAATTGCGAGAAGGACTCGGCGAACTGGATAGGGAATCTTCTTCCAGCGCTTGGACGAGCGCTCGTCCTGGATGAAGCGCGGCGTGGGCGCATTGCCGTCGCTGCTGCTGTTGTCGTCGATGACTTCGAGCGCTGCGCCTGGGCTGTTAGTCGCAGCAGCTTCGACGGGACTCGGACTGTCCAGCGGCGCATCAGGGTGGTCAATCTCCGTTACTGTGCTAGTTCCAGCGCCGGCGCCAGTGCCGGCATCGTTGCGCTCCGAGTCGTCCTTCATGAGTGGTTCCTGTTCATCGTGGTAAGGCTCGAATTGTCTCACCATGGCTGATGAGCGCTTGGGAAGAAGAAGAGAGAAAAGAGAGAAAAGAGAGACGCTCGTACTCGTTGCAGGCTGTAACGTAAGCTTGCAGCGGGCAAAATAACGATTATCACAGCCACTAAACGGGCCTTCAAAAGGACTGCTCAGCCTCTAAATACAGGGGATCTGGTGGGTCGAAGCAGACAATCGCTCCGGAAGCTCGGGATGTCTGGAGATGGAGTATCCAAGGACGGAGTAAGCGGCACGCGGTTTAGGCTTGTGGAGTGTGATTGGGCGAATCGGAACGCATCACACGCTACTGAGCTGGGTTCTATAACCAGGGAAAAAAAAGATAATATCACGAATCGCAGATCCTGGGAGATGGTCGTGTTTGGTTGTGAAGTTGCTATTGAGCCGCGCAGAAACAGACAAAGAGCTCAGATGACGCTCCTCCTGTCTCAGACATTTGCGCTGTTTCGGGTTTCTTCTAGACTACAGGTTGACGGATCCGTCCAGTGACGGCTAGCCAGAGTGCGCCAGAGGGAGCGCGCAGAAGACACATATTCATTGGCTCGCCAATATTCATATGGCGAAATTGACTCCTGCTTGGCAAGCACTATCTATATTCATCTCGCCAAACACCGCAAAGACATCTAAGCGGCATTTGAAGCACGGTTGCTGCTTTATTCCAACATAATGTCTCATAACATCGCGGTATAAGAAAATCGCCTGGGCAAAGCGGTTCTATAAAGAGTAAAGCGCCAGTGCTAAATATCGGCTGAATTTCGGCAAAAGATAAGGCAATGCCCAAGTCGCACATGCGCCTTATCGGTCTGGGGAATGAATCTGGTGTGGCTATTCACAGAAAGCCCGTGTGATTCAACAGCCGTTGACATTTCGTTCGTGCGCTGAAAGAGTCGTTGCAGCGTCTACAAAATTGACAAGAGGCATTGGCAATATGCACCGCGGCGTTTTATAGATTTTTATGCATAGATACTATTGCAATCTTTTAGACTACTTCGTCTAGTTTTTTTCTTCTTTATCCAACCCTAGACCAGTGGCGACAATGGGTGAACCAAGCCTGGAGAATTCTTCCAACATGTCTGGCCGAAGGATTTTCGAGCTCATAACCTCTGCCGCCGCCGATGGATCTGCAGCACGGCTCGGGAAGATATCTCTTCCTGGCAGAAAAGCCATCGAGACACCGAATTTCTTTGCAGCCACCTCTCGCGGCTCAGTGCCTCATCTCACTCCTGACAATCTCAGAAGACACACTCCTGTGAGTGGAGTTTACATGGCGCTTGAAGAATGTGAGACAAGTACTTGTTTGTGTTAAGCGAGAATAAAAGGTTCTAACTGTGGTTGACAGTCATCGAGAAAAAGGAGCCCCCTGTTCAGCACACCCCTGTTAGGGAGACTTCACGTCGTCTGCATAGCTTTACGGCTCTGCCTTCCAATACAGTTTCAATATTAGGCCCTCGAAGATGTGCAGCAGTCGCAACTCCTTTCGGAAATACTCCAAAAACAATCACGGTCTTCACATCCACTGGCTTTCGCAATGTAACGGTGCCGGAGTTTACGTCTTACATTCAGGCGCTGCAACCTGACATTGTGCTACCGCTGGCCGACATACCAAATGTTAGCGCAACGCCTTCGTCCAAAAAGCTTGCACGAATGGTGGACCGGACAGAAGTGTGGCTAGACGAATTCTTTGACCGTATGGATCTATCTAAATCATCAGACTCTTTGGGTAGCTCGGTGTTTGCCCCAGTGCTTCCAGTGGACCACCCTATTCAATGGGACTATCTCAGACATCTATCTGAAGATGTGCTTGATAAGCTATCAGGGCTGGCAGTCTACGATACAAATATCCTCCCGGACCTTGTCAACTACCCTTCATTGGCACCTCTTCCCAAGTTGTCTATGGATCCTCCAAAGACCCCGCAAGAGGTCTTGCGTCAAATTTTCCTTGGTATCGATATTTGCACATTAATGTTTGTCAACAGCACTTCTGATGCTGGTGTGGCCATGACATTCTCTTTCCCACCTCCTAGTGTTGATAAGGTCCAGCCGCTTGGAATCAACATGTGGTCTTCTGAGCATAACACGGCCGTGGTGCCCCTCTTAGAAGGCTGCCAGTGCTATACTTGCACAAAGCACCACAGAGCATATCTTCGCCATCTCCTTAACGCAAAGGAAATGCTGGGCTGGAACCTCTTGCAGATACATAACCACCATGTCGTCAACGAATTCTTCGCTGGCATTCGCGAGGCCCTTGGCAAAGGACAAGCTGCATTTGAGGATGCCATGCACAAATTCGCCGCTGCTTATGAACCCCTGTTCCCTGAAGGGACTGGAGAAAGACCTAGAGCGAGAGGATATCATTTCAAGAGCGAGGCTGGCTCGGAGAAGATTAACAAGCCGGCCTGGATAGATTTGGATAAAGGGGCCGGAGTTACTGAGATTACGAGTGTTGTGGAGAGTGGCACGCCTAGCAGTGAAAGTCAGGATGTGACGCCGGCGGAAGTGATTAATGTAGAGGCAGCTGCGGCGGCGTTGAGCTTGAGTTAGACGATACGTATATATGAATGAATGATTACTATAATAGAACTATTTGTTGGTTTCGCAACCGGTGGTATGCTGAACGTTGACATAATGTCTGATAAATGCCTAGTGGGCTCCAAAATGGCGGAACAATGCACTTGAAGCTCAGGCTATTACCACCATGCCATTGATTTAGTTTTGCCTGGCAAATGATTGCTATTTTACGTACATCCAGCCCCAATATGGAGATTATGAATTACGCGATGGACCGTATCAAAATCGTGGTCTGAGTCAATCCAGACCGCAGCCACTATCGCCTCAGTCGTGGAAGCACCTGTAGTTCGAGCCACGGTTCCCTTGAGCGACCCTGGCAAATGAACGAAGCGATCCATTTCCCATTTACAGAGGACTTTGCTCAAGGCAGTATTTGAAGTTTCTGCCATACAGATTTCGTGGCAGCTCTCTAATAGTTTTCAGAAGGGATAAAAAGTTTCCATTAACTTCTGCTACAAGCTATAGTTCGCTGGGCTTTGGGGGGTTAGAAATGGATGGGCTTACGACGGGTATTGCCCCCTACGATGCCGTCGTTGACTACGACTAGCCGGAGGACAGCATCGCCAATCATTGCCAAGGCTTTGTTTCCATGCTCTCGGGGTTTATCTTTGGATAACGATGGGGTTGATCCATCGGCATGAAGGGCCTCCTCAAGGAGCGCGGGGTCTTGGAAATGATACTGAAGAATCTTTTCAATGGCGTTGTCTGCCATGGTGCGAAACCAGCCGAATAGACAAAGGTACTATGTTTTTTTTTTTTTCATATTTGTTATTTATGTAGAGCACTTTTTTTTTTTCTTTTACGCATGGATTATCTGGCTTTCTTATATAATTCATCTTTTGGGGTATACATTCCAGTGAAGCGGAGATTGGGATAAACTTTGGTGGATGAAGTATTTCAACCACCTGTGCTATCCAACTGAGTAGGATATTATTAAAACCTGGGAGTTACTCAATGTTGACGTCAGCCAAAATATATGATTTCTATAGTCAATGAACTTTTTTCCCTATTGCATGAAGATCAAGCTGTATGCTGCAGTAAGTAACAAGGGGTTGTTGTTAGCACAGTTAATGGTATCTCTATACGCTTTCAAGAGCTTTGAAAAGAAAGCTCATACGCGTTTTAGGAACATTTCAAGATCTCCTTTATATTGTTGAAATAATTGATTTAAGTATCTATTCGTATAGACGGGCACAATCTTTTTTCTTTTCTTGTATTCTTTGCTTTGAAGCCCGTGAAATTTAATTCTGGAAATGTGCCATTCTTTTGGTATAAGTGAAAACTTGTGTAACTCTGTTGCTGAATGAAAAAAAAAAAAAAGAGAAACAGATTCAAGTCGTTATATCACTCTCTAATGTAAAAGAAGAGAAGAAGAAAGAAACGGGATAAGCCAAGTTGAGTATGAGAGCGAAATGGATATAATAGCGAGAAGACAAATGTAATAGATCATGCTGAAATTCACAAAGAGGACTGAGTTGAGATTCTGTACAAATGGTGACTGTTTGCGGCTTACTGATAAAGATGGGCATAGTGCACGCGCCAATGTTCGGCCGGGGACTTCTAGCTTGGCTTGGTGGTATTGATCGCGGATACAATTGTCTTGAGCTCGCGCCCATCCAGCTCCTCGAGCCTGCGGCCGTCGTTGTCGACCTTGTCGGTTAGCGAGGCGGTATGAACCCACACATTCTTAGTGCCGTGGACAGATAGACGCGCAACCGTCTCTCTCACATTGTTCCGCCGAACTCCACCCCCGGCGACGACCTGAAGGCTGTTGGGAGCGGCGCGGTGACAGATTGCGTCAATCTTCTCAAGATGTTGAGAGCAGTTGCCGATGCCGCCAGAGGTAAGGACACCATCGAAGCCGCATTCAACGAGGGTATCGATGCCCTTGGCCCAGCGCTCACTTGCAGCAATGGGGTCGAAGGCGCGGTGGAAAACACATGGGAAAGGCCGAGCAGCGTCGACGAGCATCTTGCAGCGCTCTTCATCAATGGTGTACTTGAGATCCGGGTATTTGGCGAGAGTCGAAGGCTTAGTCTGGCGTCTAAGTATCCCAAAGACGAAACCATCGCCACGGATGGGGTTCATGACCCCAGTGGCTTTGAAATCGGCAATTGCCTGCAACATGAGAGAAATTTCATCGTCGGTATAAATGAAATCTTGAAGCTCCTGGTCCTCTTGCTGGCCCGCCATTTGTTGGTCCTCTCCCCCACCACGCGAGACGACAGCGCGAGGAGGACCGCGGGGACGGATCATGATGCGGACGGCAATTTCAAGCTGCGAGGCAATCGAGGTCAGCTCCTTGACGGGGGGTGTAAGGCCACCTGCTTCGTACGAGCCTGGTGCATTGAGTTCGATGCGTCTGGCGCCCAAGTCCTGAGCCTCGAGGCCGGAAGCACCGCTGAAGACTGCAACTTCGCAGTTGAGTCTGGTGGACTGTCCAAGATCAATTGGCGTAGGCATTGCGTTAATGTTTGGTATAGAAATTTCAGTATAGAAGCTTGAAATTCCAATTCTGCTATGCCAAGACCAAGCCGTGGTGAGGTGACAGTAGTTTATACGACGAGTTGAGGAATTGAGACAAGGGAGGAGTTGGCAGCCAGCTCTGTCTTTCCAATTGAGAAGAAGAGGAAGTGGTTAAGTAAGCGGCATCATCTCATTTGGTGGCTTTTTAGAATAAGAGGGCAATTGACAGTCTTCAGTTACTATTGTCCAGGCGGGAGCAGCAAAGGAAGCCGTGAATACAACTCTACTAACAACCTGGAAGCTATTGTTAGGAAAAGGTGGGTTTGCTCGAAGCTGAGGCGGGGGAGGGGCAAGCCTTATCTGATAAGCGGCTTTTTTTTCTTCCCAGCTCTTGTGATGGAAATTTGGAGAATTAGAATACAATGAGAGACGTGGTTTGAATCTGCTGCTAAGAAAGAAAAAATCAATATGAAGCTGGTTCAGATTTGGATTAGATTTGAAGCTGAAATAGATGGGAACACAAAGACGTGCTGCTCAAGATACACGTGAATGTGGCATCTGGCAAAGCTCCGAGCTGTCTGTCTTATGCATGCAGTGTTATCCCGCCAATAGCCCTTGATCATCATATCTTTGTCTCTTCTACAAAGGCGGTGTCTACTTCTACTTCTAAATATTGAATCTACCGGATTGGCTCGTCTCCGCAGCGAATCACACGCATCAGCATCAAAGCATGGGAGGGGTCTTCGGGGTGGCGTTTTGCTGGCCGTATCTGGAGCAAGCTACCACTTCTAATTCTAGCTCTCCTTCTTTTTGCTTCTCCTCTTCCACTTTATGCACATCCAAAGTGGAGCGTGATGCCTAAACTTTCGGTGACCTCCTGCTGCCATACAAATCGTATGCTCTTCTCAAGTACCAATCGCCCCCCCAACTTTTTTTTTCCTTCAGGCTCTCCATCTCAATTTTTTTTTTTCGAGCGGCGTTCAGTGGACCCTTCGCTGCAAGAGCTTTGACTCAGTGGACCCTCCGCCAATCTACAGCGGGCTTAGTGGCTCCCGCTTTTGCCGTTTCGGGCCCAAGCACGCCTGCAATACAGGGATCCAGCGCGCCAGTTGCCAAGTGCTAGGCAAGGTACCGCTACGCAAAATTTCCATCTGCAAGCTCCTCCTTGACTGAGTCGACATCGGTTTTTTTTTTCTCTTACATACACAAGCTCTGCCTGCATTGATTTGTTTGATTGTTTACGGCCCTCCACATATTTTGTGCCTCCGTGGACGAGAGAAAATTTTCTCCCCTTGCCCAATCAACGTCATCTGGGTAGCTAGTTCCACCGTATAAAGAGGCAACAAGCTCCCCCTCCTCAACAAATCTCCTTTCTGCATCACGCATTCTTCTCTCTTCTCTCCTACTTCACATTTCAGTCGCCACGCATAATCGTCAAGATGTCTGCCGAGAACATTGACAACCCCATCTCCTACGAGCAGCTCGAGGATCTCGAGGATGATTTCGAGCAGGTTGAGCTCGAGCTCCGTAAGTTCTGCCACCACCACTAATCAACCCAGAGCTACACTCTTCATCCTTTTCCTCTGGTAGCGAGCCGTTGAGCATGCTTCATTCTGTCGTTTCCAGCTGGAATTGCGCAGTCCGTAAATGAGCAGCGCCATCAGGCCACCCTGGTTCCCTTTCCCCGAATTTCTCTCGCTGCTTAATTCACGTGAGAACGGAACAGGGAAGAGGAGAGATTTTTTATCTCTTTCTTGAAAACATTCTCTCAAAGCTGTAGAGTGCTAACAAATGCACAGTCCGCCAGCAGGCTAAGCTCACCAAGGACCTGTACGCCAAGCGCGCCAAGGTCGTTGCAGAGATCCCCAACTTCTGGCCCCTGGTCTTCGAGCAGGCTCCCCCGGATATCGACGAGTATGTTCAGCCAACTGACTCTGCCGTCCTGCTGAGCTCTCTGGTCAACCTGTCTGTTGAGCGATTCGAGCTTCCCAACGGCGACCCTCGCAGCATTGCCATCAAGTTCGAGTTCAGCGAGAACGAGTACTTTGAGAACAAGGTTCTCGAGAAGAAGTTCTGGTGGCGCCGCAACAAGGATGGCTGGGCGGGCCTCGTCAGCGAGCCTGTCAAGATCAACTGGAAGGCCGACAAGGACCTGACCAGCGGCATGCTGGACCTCGTCTACCAGGTCTGGGAGGACGACAAGGCCGGCAAGGGCGATGACACCGAGGCCAAGAAGAAGCTCAAGTCCCAGATGGAGAGCACCGGCCTTGACGGCGTCAGCTTCTTTGCCTGGTTCGGTTTCCGTGGCCTCAGCATCACCGAGGAGGAGAACCAGGCTGCCCTCAAGGAGGAGGAGGAGAAGCGCAAGCTCCGCAAGGAGGGCAAGGAGATTCCCGACGAGGATGATGAGGATGAGGACGATGAGGATGACGAGTACGAGATGGAGATTTTCCCCACCGCCGACGACCTTGCCGTCTGCATCGCTGAGGATCTCTGGCCCGGTGCCATCAAGTACTTCTGTGAGTACATTCACGCCTCTGAGAATTCTTCGGAGGAATCAGACGATGAATGAGGACCAGCGCTAAGACTAAACTCAACAGTGGCTGCCCAAGAGCAAGATGCCATGAGCGACATCGACTTTGAGTCTGACGAGGAGATGGATGAGGGCGAGGAAGACGCCCAGCCCTCCAAGAAGCGCAAGGCTTAAAGGTTCTCACTGATGATTTAACGATTTCTCTTTTTTTGAAAAAAATATCCCCTCAAAAGCATTTTCTTTATACAACATAACACCCCTGCTCTCTATCAACAAGGCTATATACAGCTGTTGGTTACGGGATTTAAAAAAAATTTATATATTCATGATGACGATTTCTGGAAAGGATTAAAAAACCGGTGGACTGATGGGATTGGGAAGTGGGCATGGAGCTCTCGATTTTTACTCCTTGATCTTGGATTGAGATTGGCAAAAATATACTATAAGTAGACAATGATATCACAAAGAGTTTTGTTCTCTGGCAATCTTCTCTGATTCTCTTCTCATCTACATGTGCTCATCTTCACTGTTGTAAACAGAGCCTGCATTGAACATGCTTTAGCTCTTGCGGCTACTGGCGTTTGGCGTCGGATCTAACTCCATCTCCAAGATCTCCAAGATATGCTTACCTAGCTTGCAGTATGATGTAAATGTGACATTTCATACCCCAAATTCCCAAAACCAATCCACCACACGCCATCATTCTTGTCCTTACACTGTCCCGTCTCGCAGTTCGCCTTTCCCATGAGGTCCCAAAAAGTGCCGAGCCGACGTTGAACCCCATTTTTCACACCACCGCAGCCAATCCGCGGCCCAACTTCAGAACCATGTAAGATCGCCAACTCAAACGGCCATCATCGGAAGTCCGAGAGTATCCCACACGCGAACAGAGTCAATCTGTCAGCTTTTTGCACGAAATTTGTCAGCTTTTTGGAGATGCAACCTCTTGCTGGTCTTTGGTTGCAACATCGACCTTTGGATTGGTAGCTGGTGATGCACAAGGGCACGTTAGCGTCTGTCTGATGCAGCGGTATCGTATAAATTGCCCAGCCTGTGCCCGCTTTGCCTGACGAACATGGCACTGGCCGCATCCGCACTGCGATCAACTACGCCACGACAAGCTGGGTTTTTACAGGTGCTGGGACATAATTTGAGATATTTAATTCGACGGCATCAAGCTATTTTACCTCTTTCAATTCGAGCCCGTCTTGCTTCGACAATGGCGACGCCGTGGCAGATTCGCGTTCCCGCGAGCGATACGGGGTTGTTGAAGTGGAAGCAGACAGATGAGTCTGCAGCGAAGGTGTCTGAGCTGTTGCAAAAGGATCTCGAGGTATTCTTCTTCCTCTTTGTTTTTAATCTCTTCAAATGTATATTTACATAAAAATATGGCAACTAATTTGAAATGTAGAGCCACCATGTATTCTTTAATGCGGAGGGCTTTCACAATCATGTACGCCCGCGCTGTTGCTTCATGCAGCCTAACTGCCTTTATCACCAGTGAGATGAACTATGCATCTTGCGATGAACACTCAACCATGCACTGAAAATTTTAACCAAAAAGAAAAAAAAAAAAAACTAATAGAACATCACCAGATCGTTCACTCCCTCCTCACTCTCTACGCCACCGGCGCCTCTCCCAGCACCCTCGAAGAGGCGTATGCCGAAAACCACTCGTACCAAATCAAAGCCATGGACACCCACTCCGGCGTCGTCGAGGAGCTCAAGAAAGGGTGGACGGAAGGCTGCCCTTACCTTTCAAAGGGGAAATATTACCCTGACTTTCTGAGATTCTTTCAAGATGAAATTGAGGCAAAGGGATGGGAAAAGGTCCTTTTGGAGTATGTCTTTAAGGGAGATGAGAGGAGCGAAGCCATCTTTGGCCGTCTCTTTGCTGGTACGTATATCATTTCTATGATTGTCTTGCTTAAAAAGAAAGAAAAAAAGGAGAGAAAAGAAAATCTACGCTGCTCTCAATAAAGTCATTACAAGTAGCTAACAGACCAGGCTTCCTCCATCCCCTCATCCAACTCATGTACGGCATCGAATGGCAGCAACCCGCCATCATAGCCGAAGGCCTCGCCCAAGCTGCCGTCCACGAGAACCGCGTGGGCGGGTTCCTCACCAAAGCCGAGCAAGCCGCCACTGCCTCTGCACACACGACCAGCTTGCCGGAGCTCTTTGAGTCTGTTGGGCAATTCAGCGAGAAGCTCGCCACGAGCGCGCGGTTCGACGACAAGAACAAGATTTACGACGGCATCTTTGTTCGTGCTCCTGATGAGGCCCTGGAGTTTGTGAAGCAGGTCAAGGTGCATGAGGATGAGTTGGATGAGAGGCTGGCTGAGATGGTTCACTCGTGCGCCTATGTCGCTGCTGCGGCGGCGTTTCACCAGCCGAACAAACCCAAGTTTGACTTCTTCTTGATGTGAGTCTGACCCTTCTGGCATCTTCCCCCCCCTTCCCCCCTTTATTTGCTCACAAGAAGTCTACGTTAGTCACCACCTCAACTCGATCCCCTTCTTCGTCACCCTCTTGTCCTTCCCCTGGCTCCGTGACTATCAAAAGGTCCGCATTCTCGAATGGAAAATCCGCCTCGATCTCATCCAGTACATCGCTCGAGGATGCCCACCGCTTCGCCTTGACGCCATCAAGTCCTTTGTTCCAAAGCAAGATTCTAGCTTCGCCACAAAGCCGGCTGACCTGCTCCCGCGGTTTCACGAGATCATTGACGATGGACATACCATTAAGGTCGTCCGAGCACTACTGATTGCTCAGGAGCTGTCTCGAAAGTATGCCGGTAGGCCGTGGATTCGCATCGCGGACGACGAGACGTGGTTGAAGGTTCATCAGATTCTGCTGCAGGGCACGGAAGGCCCGCAAGAGCCCGCCTTGTGGGTGAGATCTGCTGGGTTTGAAGAGGCCTGGGTAAATGTGCCCAAGGAAAGGTAAAGACGAAATTAATCCTTTTGCACCAAATATGAAGAAGAAGAAGAAGAAGAAGAAGAAGAAATGGAGAGGAATGGAGAGCCTCAGGATGCTGATGACGAAAAAAACGTGAGCTTTTAGAGCCAACAATACCGGCGCGCGACTTTAGGATATCTTTTATATTTTTATGTAGTCTAGTCTTGTAAATAACCCAGTTGTGCTTCCTATTCAAGAACAAAATTCAAGAGTTCAATCCATTCCCATCCACTCTTCTTCGCCATCCTCGTCAGACTCGCCGCCTGACTCCGCCGTGCCGTTCATGACCGCGTCAATGGTCTTCTGCTGTGCACTGGTCAGGGTCGCATTGCCATTACCATTCTCTTCATCCTTATTATTATCAGCCTGACCCAACAGGTAATCCACCATGTACACGTTCTCGTCAGCCAACCTCCTGATCTCATCCCTCATCTTCACCACTGCTCGTGAGACCACTCGCAGCTCGACATCTACCTTGCCACGGTTGGCAGTAAGCCAAGCACCGTGCTTATCGACCAGCGACTTGATCCACAGCAGGCAGAATTCGATGTGAGGAGATTCTTCCGTCTGGGCAGCGACGAAGCGGAGGAGTCTTGGGACATACACAATGGGGATATCGGACACGACGAGGGGAATGTCGGCCGGGGGTACCGCTTGGAAAACTCTCTTGATGAGGCCAGCTTCGTTTAGTCGGAATGCCATCACCAACGCTTTGAGGTAGTCCTTTTCGTTTTCCAGTACTGCTAAAGTCGAAGCAGGCGTGATCTCAATGTTAAGATCAAATGGATCAAACTGTAGAGTGTGGTCCAAGCTATAGATAAGAAGACCTTCTGTAGAAGCAGCGCAAAAGGCGGATCCGGCAGGCGAAAAGGCGACTCCTGTAACGCGAACTTGAGGCTTCCGCTTTCTAGCGGATGGATCTCCCCCACGCTTCGAACCAGGCAGGCTTGCATCGACCCGGTCTTCGCGGTCGGATGCCTCTCCTTGCATGTCAATATCGTCCATGGCTCCGGCTTCCGTTAGATACTTGCTGTTGAGGAACTCTTGAGTTCCGGATAGAGACAAGTTCACGCTAACTGTAAACTTCTTCAGTAGTACCATAGTCGATACAGAGTACAGGCAGATATATTTGCTGTTTCCACCGGCCAACAGGCAGCTTCCGTCTGTGCTATAGCGAATTGTGCTAAAGCTTTTGTTGCCGCCGATATTGGCAGCAGTTCTTCTGTCTGATGATTTACGTCCGCCAGACACGTCCCTGCGACCATCGAGACCCGCAGTCTGCTCAGCCTCTGATATTGACCAGAAAGTCAGCTGGCCATCAATCGTTGAAACGGCCAGCTGAAGGGAATCCGGTCGAACGGCAATGTCGAGAATATCAGCCTGAAGCTGTAACGGTTCACTTGTCTGAGTTCTGTCAAAGATCGACCAGATCCGTGCAGTTCTGTCCCAGCTACCGCTAACTAGGGAGTTGCCATTTGGTGTAAAGGCTAAAGCAGATACGGGACCGTCGTGCCCTGCTAACCGATCAAGGAGCTGACCGGTCTGTACAGACCAGATGTGGATATCAAATGAGTCCAGTGATCCTGCTGCAACGACTTCGCCGCTGGGGTCAACAGACATGCATGTGAAGGACAGCCTTGTTGGGGCCGTAAAGGTGCGGAAATTTCGATATCTGATCAGATCCCACGCCCTGACTGAGCCGTCAAGACTCGATGTGAATAGTACATTTCCCTTCTTGGCAAACTCGCAAGCCGTAACGGCACTAGTGTGCTCCGTGAATGTGACGATACAAAAGCCAGACTCAATATCCCATACTTTGATCTTGCCATCATCAGCCGTGGTAATGATTCGCTGTCCATCCGGGGAGTAAACGAGAGAGTTTATTGAGTCAAAATGACCCTGCTGTTTGAGAATGTAGGATTCAGACTGCCACTCCCAGACCAACAACTGTCCCAGCTTTGAGGCACCAAAGGCCAGCCACTCTCCGCTCTGGTTGATCGTCACAAAGTCAACATCACTCTGGGAGATGCTGAGCTTATGAATGTTGTTGAAGTCGGGCATTTCGTAAAGGCTGAAGAGACCATTGGACATGCCAGCCACCAAGAGGTTAGTTTCCGCGTGGAAAAAGGCACATCGCACATGCGCGCTACCTTGCATAAAGTAGTGTCGCTCAACAATGCGCCATCTCATGTCTGAATCATCGTCGTTATCGTCATCATCCTCCATACGGTCGTCTTGCTTTACAGAGTTGAGCGGTTTGACGTATTTCCAGTTGAAGACCGCACCATCCTTGCTGACCGTATAAATAGTCTCCTGGTCAGCGGAAAACCAAGCACCAATAACGTTTTGCTTATGGCCACCAAGAATGGTGGGAACGAAACCCTCTTCGGGCTCAACGCTCCATATCCTTGCCGTCAAATCTTTAGAGGCTGTTAGGAAAAATCGGGAGTCGCTAGACCACTCGATATGCTGCACCGAGTCGAAGTGGCCGGTGTAGGTGCGGCGCTTTACGAAGGGGGCGAATTCAAGCTCTCCTTCGGCGTTTGTATCTGGGGTTGAAGGCACGTGCCAGACTTCGAGTTTTCGGCCCAAGCCCACGACAAAATATCTACCTGAAGGCGAGAATGAGAGCGCTGTGACCTGCGACCGGAAGGAGAAGTGATAGATGGATACGCGGCGGGGAACGTTGGTCAGGATCGCATGACCCTCATCGTCAACGGTGAGAAGGAGATTTCCGCGGGGGGAGAGGCCGATTCGAGCAATGTTCTTGCGATGTGCGAAGGGCAGGGTATGGGACTTGTTGCTGTTGTATCAAGTTAGCCATCCAGCTCAACGACAGGTGTGCTTTAGTAGAATGCGCCGACAAGACATACTTTACCAGGTCAAAGATGGTCACGCGATTGCCGACGGGTGAAAAGAGATGGGTGCCATCTGGGCTGAACACCAAGTTGCCCTGGCAGTAGACAGTGCCCAGCAAATTGGAAAACTAGGAAGCCTCACAATCAGCACTTGATCCGGAATCTGTTTGGACATTGAAGTTGCAAATTGGATCGGTATAATCGACAATTGGGCAAAATCGGGGCTTGGCAGTCTGAATTTCAAAGCTGTATGACAAAATCTTACCCTAAAATCGGTCTTCATTGTCGGCCACTTGCCATGATCTTGTGGACTTATATGATGATGTGAAGCTCTTTCAGCGTTCGCCGCAGTCGCATCAAAAAATCAAGCTGCGACTTTCTTATCGATACGGACCCATTGTGATTTTTTTTTCCCACAGCAAGCCAAGCGCAGTAAAAGCGATTGAATTTAGAACCGCCGGCAGATATTTTATTCCGCTCCTTAGCGTTTACGCCTAGGTACTTATGGTACGACGGTGCTTTGAAACGCATTGACCACCTCATCTAATCTACCCAGTCCGGGCGGGTACCAGCTACTAAACCGGTAGCGGTGCTGCAGTAGCTCAACGCACCATATAGACCAACAGCGTGGTGTACTCGGTACCTGCTTAGCCCATGGCCTGGTCCTGCCCGCTCCATGCTCCGTTAACACGAACTGCTCACTTCACTTTCACGCAAATGGCAGAGAAAAGGAGACCGCCCGCCTTTTGCTCCTGCCTCGCTCCGCGCCTGCTCTGTGCCCCCCAGTCGGTCGCACCAACCCGCTAAGCCCAATCAGCCAAGAGCTGCCCCCAGGCCAATCAGCAGCGCCCAGCCCCTGGGCAATTCTAAGGTGTGGAAAATTGGGGGATACGACCGCCTCAACCCCTTCTATCCCCTGAAAGTTCAAGCTCAGCAAGTTGGAACCTCCACTCTGTTTTGCTTGAGCAGCGCCAACGGCCACTTGTGAATATCTTCCTCCTGTCTCCGTTTTTGCTCCCATTGCTGCAGCTGCCATCGTCTGCCTCCGCCTTCTCGCTGGTTCCTCCTCCATATTCGCCCAAGACACCCAATTCGTAGCCCCTCCACGTGTGCAAGATGGCTCCCGCAGCTGCTGAGAGCGCCTCACCGATTGGCATTGCCAATCTGCCCAACCAGCGACACAAGATTGTCGCCAAGCGCGGTGCTGGCTTCACCATCATGGTACGCGATTGTCCCTTTATTTTTGCCGTCGACAAACGCGTTCACGGTGTGGCCTCAGCACGACGTGGCTAGCTGTGTTCCTGAGTAACTAACACGCCCACTCTAATCTCCAGGTTGCTGGCGAGTCTGGCCTGGGCAAGACCACCTTCATCAACACCCTCTTCTCCACGACCATCAAGAACTACGCCGATCACAAGCGCAGACACCAGAAGCAGGTCGACAAGACCGTCGAGATTGAGATTACCAAGGCCGAACTCGAGGAGAAGTTCTTCAAGGGTAAGGGCTAGCTGCCTAATTAAAGGAGACTCTGCGTTTGGTGCCAGATGATGTGCTAAACCTGTTTTTTGACTCCCTCTAGTTCGATTGACTGTCATTGACACCCCCGGCTTCGGTGACTATGTCAACAACCGCGATTCTTGGCAGCCCATCATCGAGTTCCTCGACGACCAGCACGAGTCTTACATGCTTCAGGAGCAACAGCCCCGCCGTCAGGACAAGATTGATCTGCGTGTTCATGCCTGCCTGTACTTCATCCGCCCTACCGGCCACACCCTGAAGCCTCTGGATATCGAGGTTATGAAGCGCCTCTGCTCACGAGTCAACCTGATCCCCGTGATTGCCAAGGCTGATACTCTCAGCCCAGCTGACCTGGCCAAGTTCAAGCAGAGGGTATGAATGAATATGATAAGCCATGCACTTTCTACGCACAAATTTCTAACGTATTCCAGATTGTGAGCGTCATCGAGGCCCAGAACATCAAGATCTACCAGCCCCCCATCGAGGAGGATGATGAGGCTGCTGCCCAGCACGCGCGTAGCCTTATGGCCGCTATGCCGTTTGCCGTTATCGGCTCTGAGAAGGACGTCAAGACCAGCGATGGCCGCATCGTCAAGGGTCGTCAGTACTCTTGGGGTGTTGCCGAGGTCGAGAACGAAGACCACTGCGACTTCAAGAAGCTGCGATCCATCCTGATCCGCACCCACATGCTCGACCTTATCCACACCACTGAGGAGCTTCACTATGAGGCCTACCGAGCACAGCAGATGGAGACTCGCAAATTCGGCGAGGCTCGACCCCGGAAGCTCGACAACCCCAAGTTCAAGGAAGAGGAGGAGGCTCTGCGAAAGCGATTCACTGAGCAGGTCAAGGTCGAGGAGCAGCGCTTCCGACAATGGGAACAGAAGCTCATTGCTGAGCGTGATCGTCTCAATAAGGATCTCGAGCAGACCCACGCCCAGATCAAGCAGCTGGAGAACGAGCTTGAGGCCATGCAAGGAAATGCCGTCCGAAGCCACGGTCGCCGATAAATTATCTAATGCTAGCTTTTCAACCAAACCATGCTGGCATTGGAGTATCATGATCTCGGGTTCCATCGGTCTGCCTCACTCTCGTTTTCAGATTTTGAGGGTAAAGGCGCCGCGTATTGAAGGCCACTACGGTGGCACTTTTTTTCATGCATATTCTAAGCGGCTATTGCCACGGGAAGGGGCGAGGCGACTTTTTTTTGATGAGTTGTTGAGGTTGAAGGTTTCTATTTTTTTTTGTCTCCCTTCGGTTCTGGTGCTAAAACTGTCACGGCGATTATCCCCTGTGACTTTGACGGTGGAACAGAGCAACATTTTATGGTTTGTTGCCCAAAATCAGCGAGAAGGGAGAGAGTGCCAGAAGTTTTGATAATGTAGCCCTATTTTATTCCTCTTTTATTTGAGCACCTCCTATTTCAGACAGTTAGGCACATTTTCTAGTCTTATGTAATTGAGTCAGTTGAGATACCAGTTTAATATGGCAACCACTATGCGCGTTGAATACAAAAGAAACTACAAGGTATACTCCTAAAAGTGATTGTCGGACATGCCCCATCCCATCTGATGGATCCGGCAACGGACAAAAGACGTACAAAAGATCCAGCCAAAACTCCTTGCCAACTCCGATAGAATGAATCGGTAGTTACTATGATACCTAACAGAATAAAGTCCACAAGAAGAATTAAGACCAAAACACAGAAACCTTCATTATCCATATCGCCCGCCTGCTTGAAACCCTTCCCCCCCTCTGCCTCTTTCCAGATATCCAAACTGCCCGGTATAAGAAGAAACGCAATTCAAGAGCAAATCAAGAGAAAATGAAAGAAAAATCGCCTAAACAGCGTCCATGCTAGCTCTTGTCGTGAGCTGCTCGTTCTTATTTCCTAGCCTCGAAATCTGCAGGAAAGCGTCGACGCCGTACCCTTCTAAGCTGTGTAGGTTCAACGAGCCAGCCCAGTACTCGGCGTAAACGCGGCTCAGGGGAAGGCCCATACCGAGGCGCAAATTAGGGGGCCGGCTGGTGAGGCTTGATAATGAACCTAGGTACGTGGGCGCCTTGAGGTCTGCTCGGCCTAGCTCGTCGGTGACGTGCAGCTCCTGCATGGTGGCGGCCATTCGGGGCACCTGGCCAAGGTTCTTGAGGCGCTTCTGGCTTTGGGGGCCCTTGCTGAAGGACCAGAGGTAAGGGAGTTCCTCGCGGGGGATGCCGCCGCCACGGTCAGATATGCGGATAATGACGTGCTCCTGGGCTTCGCAGATTGTAACTTCGATGGGCGGAGGCGGGAAAGAGGCGTGGTCGGGCTGTTTCTGGTGGTGCTCGATGACGGCCTGGACGGAGTTGCGCAAGAGCTCGCCGACAATGTATTCGAGGTGGCTAAGGATGTAGGGGAAGCTCGCGTTGAGGTGGCCGTCGATTTTGACCTCGGGAACTTGCACGTCGGGGCCGTTTGTGGTGTGAGCGAGCTGGGTGACGGCTTTGGCGCAGCGGCTAATGACGTCTTTGGCGTAGCATTTTATGAAGACCTCGCCGATAAAGTCGGATTCGGAGAGTTTGGCGCCGGGGGAGAAGTAGGCAGAGTGGAAGGTTTCGGTGAGGGAGAGGTGCTGCTCTGCGATGACCCGTCTAGAAATGCGCTGGTAGGGAAAAGGTGAGCTTTGGTGGTCGTCACAGCATATGAGGGAGTAAAATAAATATCAATCTAGCTTACCGATCGGAGTATGACGTTCATGAAGTGGTCCAGCTCTTTTGGGTCCATCAGGCCGCCGCACTCGAGTATGCCCATTGCGAGCTTTGGGATGACGGTCAGGTGGCCCTTGAGGTTCTGGGTGATGACGGCGCAGAATTTCTCATTGTCTTCCAGCGTTTTGATCTCTTTGTACTTGCGGAATGTGTCGAATGCATTGTAATAGAGCTTGTAGACTTCTTCGATGTGTCGGTTCGTTACGACGACGTAGGGGAGCTTCTGCATGTCGCGGATGCGATGCGCTATTCTGTATGCAGCACTCGCCATGATCAGCACCTTGTCAGGTACAGGTAGCAAAACAAAAGCTCGTGGTAACAACATACCTGACTGGAAGCTCGGTGCGCACATAGTTGGCAGAGCTTATCAATCGCGACTCGGTCAAGGAACGTCCAAAGACCATCAGTTGGCGCAAGCTGATTGGGCGCGCCTCCTTTGCAACCCATCTATAACACAGCAGCAATAGCTTTGGTTAGCGCATACGGTAGAGCTTGGTTGAATATATGTGTAGCGCGAATCATATCGCCAGAGAAGTCTGGCGATATGAGATGGCAGTTCATGGTAGGGCTTACTCGTCCAACACAGAAACCGGGCGCCACGTGCCGTTTGCTTGGGCCGCATTTCTTGACTGTATCTTGACAGGAGAAGCTGGATTTGTAAAGGCCGTTCGCGGAATCGCATTATTCAAGCTGCAAGATGCCGCCAGGGCCGAGCAGTTGGGAGGTCGACATCGTCTGCTATGGCAGCGCAGTGCTACGGACAACATGCCCACGGTTCCATACAAGCACTGGAGGGAATCTTTAGTGGAGGTGATGACGCCGGTGACGATGCTGGGGCAGCGAGCGATTGCGGCGGCGAAAAGTGATGAGGCGCGGGACAGAAGCGCAAAAGCAGACGAGAATATGGGGATGAATATGGAGAGGAATTTAGAAAACGGGATCTTGTTCTTTTTTTTTTTTGCTGTCTCAAGTCAAAACGCCCTTTGGAAACCTGTTCTCCGAAGCATGTGCCGGTAGATCAGATGCTTGACATTTGGTCAGCCTAAATCCTGGTCATTCAGGCCCCACAGACTGCGGTATCGGCTCCGAGTGGGCGTAGGCAGAAAGCTGGGCAGATGAGAATTGCAGGCGCTGCTGGTGATGGATTGAGGTCATTTACAGGATTTCCAGTCTTGTATGAATATTGCAAAGGGCTGGTGGCGATTAGAGGCTGGACGAGAGGAGTAGATGGGGAAGTTCGGGTGTTTATATGGCCAAGCGAATGCCTGGATCTAGGACGTGCTAGGGAGCTTGCCTGCTGCTGCTAGCGTTTTGTGAGCCAATTGAGAGTTTGAGGTTTGCTTTTGCTGTACCTGCAGCACTACGCCACGGGCGTCTACAAAGGGCTCTGCGAAACAAAGACAAAAAGGAATTAAATCATGGCAAACCATGCAAGAAAAAGCCAAAAAAAAAAAAAAAAAAAAAAAAAAAAAAAAAAAAAAAGGATAAATAAATAAAGCAGCACGCACCACTAAATATGAAACGAAGAATTTTATAGCAAAGCTTAAGGTGAATTTATCAATGCAAACGCTGCTGCTGCAATGCCGCACACGCAAAGAGCACATGAGCACCTGTTCCGTGCCGTACCATTCGCTTATACTACATAACGCAGCATCAGGCGTGATTCATATTTCTAGTATGGTACCTATTTTGGACTCTGTTTGGCCGGGAGAAGCTCTTCTGTAATGCTGCCAAGCTACATTGACTCACTCATGGCGCCATCTGGCCACTACTATACCTTACACATATCAGGATCCCCTCTTTTCTCCATTACACTGCTTTGTGTAGGCATGTATATACGTTATGTACGTCCCCAGAGGTATATGCTAAGACAAGCAAGATTGTCTGTCGATGCTCAGGTAAGCACGAGGTGGGGTAGCTCGGCATGGCTGTTAGAACTGTACTCGGCTCTTGCGGGTGGATGCCGCGGGATCTTGATGGGCTGGCGGGGCATGTGCAGGTCTTTGCCTATCGAACACAGCTCCAAGTGGCGGCGCAGCAGCATTATCGATCATCACTATCGTCGAGAAGCTTAACTACCTTAGTACCTAGTAGGCATCTATCTGCACTGCTAAGCATAGTACGGGCTATCAAAGCTCATGGCTTCGACGAACGCAAAGAACTCGGCAGTTTAAAATTGAAAGTAGAATATCCAATTAAACAGCAAACTCTTTCTATTTACACACGTATATTTATATACATCTTGATATACGTCCAAGTGCTGCAAACTGACCCGAGCCTGCTTTTCCTCCAAGCTTTCAATCTTGTTCCCCTCCTCCACCCACACCCACTCATTTGCTGCAGCCTCTTTCCATTGCTGGAGCCCCTCCATAACAAAAGAATGGAGCCGCGGCCACAAAGCCAGCACCGCCACTAAAAACTCTCCTAGCAAAAGGCTGTTAACGTCGCCAAAACCTGTCCCAGCCTTTGCAGCTCTGTGCACCTTGGGTATGCATACCTACTGTAGTACCTAGTGCTGCAGTATTACTTCGCCGCTGCTCCACAGAAGAATCTTGGTTCCCGACCAAGTTGCCAGAAAGAGTTCGCTGAGCTCCAAAACAAGAAGGAGAAATAAATGCTATAAACAGGAAGCTAGAACTCTATTACTACTGGCCAAACCTGCATCTTCTCTCTTATTTCTTGACAAACCCATCGCCAGCGTATAGTTGCTGGCTTGCAACTCAAGCTCCATTCTTTGTCCGCCTCTTATCCATGCCGCCACAGCTACCCGCCTCGCTGTGCAACTTTTTTGGTTACTAAGACCTGGCCAATAAGACACTGCGGCGCTGTGCTCGTTTTTCATAATTTTTTCTTGCTTCTTCCGTCCTCATTCTCCGTGCGGTCCAATAACAAAATCCCGTCTGTATCTGTGTCTCCGACCATTAGCACAGTCCATACAGGCGGCCACCGCGTTATAGCCCCCCGCTGAGGCTGCTGCCGTTGCTCCCGCTGCGACTCCCCCAAAAAAAATCCGTCAGCACGGTCGACTGCCGCCACACACGCGCGCCTTCTTCGGCTCCCATCTCCAAGCCCTGCACCCCGCCAGCGCTTTGCAACAGCTGGAGCTCCTGCACGTTCCTGGCCCTCAGGTTGGCCTCTTCTGAAGTCATGGTACGTCTCTCTTGAGTCTTGCTTCACATTGTCGTCAAGTCCAGGCCCAGTCGGCTTCGTCCATCCCGCGGCTTCGCAATTGCGCACAAGGCTCTGGCCGTCAGTCGTCATCGTCGTCATCGTCATCGACCTCGACATCGTCATCAGCATATCATCGCTGCATCTGCTTCTGCGTCTGCGTCTGCGTCTTCGTCTTCGTCTGCCCTCTGCATCTTCACTTTGGCCTTGGTTGCTTTTCACATTTTCATCTTCAGCTCAGGCTCTGGCTGCGGCTTTAGCTCTGCCCTTGCCCTTTGCTGCTCTGTCGCCATTTCCATCCTTGCGTTCAACCTCTTCTCTTCCACTGCATTATCCCCTGTCCAGTCCTCGATCTTGTCTCTTGCTACCAGCCAGCATCGATCTTTGGCCGTTCGGTCGACCACAGCAGCCGTTATCTGTGCATCGCCCGCCTACATTTTCAGCATCGCCTTGATCGACGTGAGTGAGAGCTGCAGCATCTTAAAAGCCATAGCTGAGCAGGTTCTGCACGCTCTGCCGCTCTCCGATCACTCCGAGCCCTCGCCATCGACGCCCGTCCAGATCCATGCTCGACCACCTCGCCCCGCTGCTTCCATTGAACTCTCTACACTCACTCCACCTCTGCTGAATCTGATCCCCACCATGACGTCCGAGGACGAAGCCCGCCAACCCGGGCTCCCATATCGAAGCCGAGCTAACGATCCGCCTCGCAAACAGAGCTACAACATTCCTTCACCAAACGACATGGTCGTGGACACAGACGACTATGTCGGTGCTCCCAATGCCCCCGAGAAAGAGTCTGTGGCCATCATCAGCCCAGATGGCGGCCTCGAACACGAAGCTGATCAACTACAAGACCTGCCTTTGGCCAACGACTGTGCGTATCCTCCCAGCCATCGAGAGACCATCTATCGGCCATACAAATTCTACAACTCTGTCCATCTTCTTCCCTCATATTTGGAAAGGACTGTTTCACTGATATAGCTCTTTACCCCACTATAGATGAAGCCATGAAAGAAATTGTTCTCCCGCCGCTACTCGACGAACCCAAAATCCTTGAAGACTTTGTACATACATGGACCGTAGAGAACTGGCGAAGTCTCGGCAAGAGAGAACATGGCCCTATTTTCCAAGCAGGTGGCTTCCCATGGTGCGTTTTTCTTGCCTTTCTTGCCTTTCTTCCTATATTTCCTTTTCCCGTTTCTCTCTCTCCAGCTAACTGGCCCTCCTACATCCAGGCGCATCCTTCTGTTTCCCCACGGAAACAACACTGACCAATGTTCCATCTACCTGGAGCATGGATTCGAGCCCGATGCCATCCCCGAGAATTGGAGTTGCTGCGTGCAGTTTGGCCTGGTACTTTGGAACCCTAATGACCCTAGCCTATATGTCAACCACGCAGCACATCATCGCTTCACTAAAGAAGAAGGGGATTGGGGCTTCACTCGCTTCGTTGAGATCAGGAGGATGTTCAATGTGCCATGGGAAGGCGATAGTCGGCCGCTAGTCGAGAGTGACACCGCTAACATCACAGCTTACGTCCGCTTTGTTGAAGACGAGACTGGTGTGCTATGGCACAACTTTGCCAACTACGATTCAAAGAAAGAAACGGGATATGTTGGTCTAAAGAACCAAGGCGCTACCTGCTACCTCAACTCTCTTCTCCAGTCGCTATATTTTACAAACGCCTTCAGAAAAGTCCGTTCACTCCTTTTCATCCTTTCCCTTTTTTTTTTTTTTCGTTTAAGGGAGGATAATTGCTAACTCTGGTATGCTCTCATGCAGGCCATTTACGAAATCCCAACCGAAAATGATGAGAACATGCAGAATTCTGCATACACTTTACAGAGGCTGTTTTATCAATTGCAGACATCCGAACAAGCTGTTAGCACGAATGAATTAACAAAATCATTTGGTTGGGAGACGAGGCACATATTTGAGCAGCAAGATGTGCAAGAGCTGTCACGAAAGCTCATGGAACGCATGGAGGAGAAGATGAAGGGTACCAAGGCTGAAAACGTACTGCCTGAGCTCTTCAGTGGTAAGATCAAGACTTACATTTCTTGCATAAATGTAGACTACGAATCAAAACGCATTGAGGATTTCTGGGATATTCAGCTCAACGTTAGTGGCAACAAGAACCTTTTGGAGAGTTTCCAGGACTACATCCAGGTCGAGAAGATGGACGGCGAGAACCAGTATTTTGCAGGCGATGAGCACAAGTTACAGGACGCCAACAAGGGCGTCATCTTCAACAGCTTCCCCGACGTGCTGCATCTTCAACTCAAACGGTTCGAATATGACATCCAAAGAGATATGATGATGAAGATCAATGATCGCTACGAGTTTCCCGACATTTTTGACGCCGCCCCTTACCTCGTAGAGGACGCCGACCGTTCTGAACCTTGGATCTACCAGCTACATGGAGTCCTCGTCCACAGTGGCGACTTGAACGCCGGACATTATTATGCATTTATCAAACCATCAAAGGATGGCTGGTTCTACAAATACGACGATGATAAAGTCACAAAGGCTACTTCTCGGGAGGTCTTGGAGGAGAACTATGGTGGAGAATACAGAGCATCCAACGGCTACCTCAGAGCGCCCCTTCAAAAGAAGGCGCCTATCATGCGCCAGAACAGTGCTTACATGTTGGTGTATATCCGTCAAACTCGGCTCGACAAGGTCCTATGTCCAGTTACCAAGGAAGATACTCCTGCACACCTGCGTAAGTAGTTTGCAACACCAACGCTGACACATGGGTTGATTCGCTAACGGGAATTTCACGCTCCAGAGATTAAATTTGAAGAAGAAAATGCCATGAGAGAGGCTCGTCGACGCGAGCAAAAGGAGGCCCACCTGTTTATGATGGCCAAGGTGATTACAAACGACACCTTTGCAAAGTACGGAGGCACCGACCTTTGCGTCTTCGACCCCATCTCTGAGACCGACCCTGCTTCACCCAAGCTGTACCGCATTCGCCGAGCTATGCCGATGCACGAATTTGTCGCTCAGGTTGCTGCCGACATGGGCCAAGATCCGGCTCGTGTCAGGCTGTGGCTGATGGTTAACCGCCAAAATAAAACAATTCGACCGGATCAGCCAATCATGGATCTCCGACCAACCGTTGAGGAGGTGTTTTCTCGCTCCGCTGCTCACAGAGACACTAGTCTGCGCGTTTGGGCAGAGGTTGCAGCCGACGTCAACGAAAACGGCGAACCTATCTGGGCATCGTACCAGAGCCAGCCAAACGGCGTTGTTGTGAAGAACGATACCATTTTATTGCTACTGAAGAATTTCGATGTAGAGAAGCAAACGCTGGAAGGCGTAGGCCACATCTATATCAGCAAAGAGCGAAGGGTCGATGAACTTGTTCCTATGATTCTCCAGAAGATGGGCTGGGGAGAGAAGCTACCCTCTGATGAGAAGCTGTTAATGTGGGAGGTACGCGAACATTCTCTCGATTTGCCAGATGGTTCTTGAAAGCAGACTAACCCATGATACTCGCATTAGGAAATTAAACCGACCATGATTGAGCCTCTCAAGGGCAAGCAGACCCTCAAAGCTGCCGAACTTCAGGATGGTGACATTGTCTGCTTCCAACGTGTCTCTGACAAGAAACCAGAGAGTGCGCGCGCTTCCGACAAGGCATCTCAAGACACGTACGTTCTCTTTTCAACCGAATGTGCACAACTTATTCTCTTTATAATTTTGACTGACTGCTCCCTTAGAAATAAATCATTTGACCGCGTTGAAGATGCTCGCGAATACTACGACTTCCTTGAGCATAAGCGAACCGTAAAATTCCACGCTCATCCAACTAGATCTGACCAGACACAATACCCCCCATTCGAGCTCGTTCTCAACTCAAAGATTACTTATGATGTTTTGTCTGACCGAGTCGGCGCGCACCTAAAGGCCCCTTCGACACACATCCGGCTCTGGACGGTGAACTCGAGCACAAACAACCCCAAGGCTCCTGTAAGACGGGGTACAAACCCAACACTGCGGCAGATCTTGAACCCCTTGGGCTCAAATACGTTGAATGCGACTCAACGAAGTGATGCTTTTTACTTTGAGGTGCTAGAAATGAGCTTAGCTGAGCTGGATACCAAGAAGAACATCAAGCTCACGTGGCTGAGCGAAGGCATCACCAAAGAGGTATATACGCAGCAGCAAGCTATTACGATAGTATTTGGAGCCAAGCCCGACTAATTTAACTTTGCTACTTTAGGACCAACTTGACTTGCTCGTATCAAAAACGGGAACTATCGAAGACTTGATACAAGCTCTGATTAAGAAGGCCAAGATCGCCGATGAGGCGGAAGGCGGAAGAATACGGGTGTACGAAACAAGTTCTAACAGATTCTATCGTGAGCCCGCTCGCGATCAATCCGTCCTAAACCTGAACGAGTACACCCAAATCTTTGCTGAAAGAGTTCCGGAAGAGGAGAGAACGGCTGATGATAACAACTTCATTCATGTTTTCCACTTTCAAAATGAAGTCAACAGAGTCCACGGTGTTCCTTTCAAGTTCCTACTCATCGAGGTATGCATCTATCAACTTTCTGTTTTATTGTACACCATGTTTCTCCCTTTTTTCCATTTTACTAATGTCATGATTAGGGCGAGAAATTTGCCGATACGAAGAAGAGACTAGAGAAAAGAACTGGCATCAAAGGCAAGAGTTTCGAAAAGATCAAATTTGCCATTGCCAGACGGGCAAACTATTCAAAACCACAGTATCTTAATGATGGTTCGTGTGCACTATAACCGGACAATTTTTTGGTGAAATCAACTAACCACAAAATACAATGTAGACGACGAGTTATGGAACATAGCCTCATCCGAGGATGACTATCTTGGCTTCGATCATCCGGATAGAACAAGGGCCTTGAGAAACGGCGTTGGGGACCTTTTCCTTCGTTAAGCGCAACAGTATACAAGCTAAATTCGCGTCGAGGACATATGCAGCTGTGTGAAGACTTACGAAATGGCTCTAGGAGTCTAGTATATCCTGTTTCATGCCATACCCATCAATCACTTTGGTGTGATTGATGGCTTGTCTTGAGGCGATGGGCGTTTTCCTTTTTTTATATGTCGAAATTTTTAACCTCTTCCTTCTCTCGTTTCCAGGATGCATGTGGCGACGCATGATGCAGATGAATGATGGATGACATTTGTTTTGATACAGTATCAATACAAAGAGCATACTTGGATTGAAGTGGTCTCTAGCATTGGCTCTGACGGCTATTTGTTGTTCTCAAGGTCTGTAGCACAGCTATTGTATTATTATCAAATCAAGTAGTAAGTTGGAGATTAATCATACTAATCTCTTGGTTTGCGTGACTGTATAAGATAGAATATAGTTTGGCACTCAGAAATATATGCCTTTTAAGTATTACATTTCCAAATGCTCTCATCCTCCCAAGGTGTTACTTCAGCTGTTCCCTCTAACATACCAATTACCCACCCCTGGGAAGTTCCTCTTAGTTTATCTTGTCCTTTTCCTCTCAGTGAGTTATTTGTTAAAACCAAGATGCGTACGCTAATCGCGCTCGTTAATGTCATAAGTCAACCTCATTTTTAACCATCCTGTTATGTTCATCGCTCTATGTAATCCGATCATATTCTGTCATTAAAATTCTAGGGGTGGTCTCGGGCCAGCCATGCATGTTTGGAGTCTCGTAGGGCCCCTTACCCCTTTAAATTCGCTTTTTGCTCTTTTCACGTTAAGGCTTAGACGTTCAAGCAAAGGAAATGGAATGGGGCTCTCCTTCATTCGCTGGCACTTCGCGCTCTCGACGATACTTGGCCAGGGGCCCCCTCTCAATCTCCTCGACGGAAAGATGGGCGCCTGCCGTCTTGAGAAGCTTGGCGCAGTCGTCTTTTCCCGACAGCGTCGCTAGGAACAGAGGCGAGTTGTCTGCCCTGTTGCGCTGGTGCACGCTCGCACCGCGCTTCAGGAGCTCGAGCATGATTTCGGAGTTGCCTGATACGGCGGCGAGATGGACGGCGGTGTTGCCTGCATAGTCGGCCGTCTTGAGGAGCTGGTTGCCGTCACCGTCGAGGAGATCCTTGACGACCTGGATCTCTCCGTTTTGGATGGCGTAGCCGAGCGCCGTGAAGGCAGACTCCATGGGGGTGAGGCGAGAGCTGCAGTCGATGGGCTTTGTCGGGTGGGAGAAGCTCTGGTGCGCAATCTCGGTCATCTCGCCGCGGAGAGAGCGCGAGAACTCGCTGGCGATGTCCTTCTGGGTGAGGTTGGGGAGGGCGATGAGGTGCGAGAGCTTGGCGAGGGCGGCCTCAGCGGTGAGATCGAGGCCGAAGATGACGCCCAGGCGGCCGAGCTTGGTTCCGGGTGCGTAGACGGGGGAGACGAAGCCGTTGACGCACTGGCTGACGTTTACGACGATGATGCCTCGCTCGACGGCGGAGCGGATGGCTTCCATGAGGCGGCCGTCAACACCACCGGGGATGTTGCCCATGCCGAAGGTCTCGAGGATAATGCCGCGGAGGTCGGGCAGATGGAGGACGGCGTCGACCATCTCGGGCTTGATGCCGGGGAAGACGCGCAGACAGGCGACGTGCGTGGTGTCGAGGTGCTTGAAGACCTTGAACTCGGCAATGGTGGTGGGACGAAGGACCAGCGGCCAGTTGACGCTGATGCCGAGGCCGTTTACCTTGGCCAGGGGCTCGCAGTTGGGGCTGGCAAAGGCCTCGAAGGAGGTGGCGGAGACTTTGGTGGTGCGGTTGCCGCGATACAGCTTGTCGCGGAAGAAGAGGCAGACCTCGGGGATGACAAAGGTGCCGGCGATGATGAGCGAGCCCAGAAGGTTGTCGACGGCGTCAGACTGGAGGGCGAAGATGGGCGCCTGCGACCCGGTCAGGATGACGGGCTTGCCCAGGTTGGCCATCATGAAGGACAGGGCCGAGGCCGTGTAGGCGAGGGAGTCGGTGCCGTGGAGGATGACGAAGCCGTCGAAGAGGTGGTAGTTTTCCTGGACGGCGGTGGCCATTGCGGCCCAGTCGGCGGCGGAGATGTTGCTGGAGTCGAGGAGCGGGTTGAACTCCATGACGGAGTAGCGGATGTGGCGCTGGTAGGCGGTTGGGGGGGTTCTGAGGGAGTCGAGCTGGATGAGCTGGCCGTTGCGGCGGGCTTGGAGTTTGACTTGATGATTTGATGTTAGCTGAGGATTCTCATCTCTTGGTCTTATTTGCTTGTATCTGATATAAGTCTACATGTATGTATGTATGTATGTATGTATGTATGTATGTATGTATGTATGTATGTATGTATGAGACTTGTGTATGTGAGATGAGATGTAAGTCTCATATGATGCAAAGATTTATACTCACCACTTGGCTCTGAATTGTCATTAAACACGGTCCTGGGCGCCATGGCGCTCTCCAAGAAGCCGTCGCTGGGCGCGAGGCCATCGGGGCCTTCCTGCATGCATATTGTGCCTCCGGTGCCGATGATGAGGACGCGGGACTCGGGGAGGCCGGCGTTGACCGGAGGCAGATCCGTGACGGCGGCGGGAGACATGAGCATTTATATGTATGGAATGAGAGTTTCTGTTATGAAAAAAAAAAAAAAATTGAAGAGGTGTCAAAAGCAAAAAAGAAATGGGTCTGAGAAAAGAATTTATGAATCAGAATGGAGTTAAAACGAGGTGGTGAAGACTTGAAGGTTCTTATCAGACTTTTGGCTTGATGAAAGCAAAGTACCCTTGTATACCCCAGATAAGGAAAAAAAAAAAAAGAGTTGAAGTGGGTGGGTTGTTAGTAGTAGGTAGTGTGTGGTACTGGGAAAAGTGGTCCAGCCGGCCGTGTTATAAGACAAGAGGCAATGCAGCAGAACTCGGTCTACGGACAGCGGGACAAAGGGGGCCTAAATATATTTACGAAAATGAGGAGAAGAAAGAGGAGGAGAAGGGGAAAAGATTGGATAAGTCTTTAGTCATAGAAAGTGTAACGCATCTGCTGGCCAGGGAAGGGAAAAAAAAAGTTCTAGCACGGGGCGATAAAAGAGGCGGAACGGAGTGGATACGAAGGGGTAATAGAAATATAAAAAAAACGTCGGGATCGGACTGCATGGCCGGTTTATTATCTTTTTGTTTTGGTGTGCCCGAGTATATCTATTTCCGAGTGATGTACTTTGTGCACCTTGTGTGAAAAATTGAGTGATTGACAAGTGACGAAGGAGGTGGTACTGGGTATTATTACGGTATATGCGAGGATTTGTGTATGTTCGTGCTTTGGGGTTGAACACCGTCTTGGATGCGGCGATTTGCTGGAACCGGCCGATTGATGATGGATAGCGCAGCCATGTCTACCTGGTATAGTAGCAGTACGTACTGTATTGCTACACTGTACCTGTGCTTGCGCAACCTCTAGTACCGCGACCATCAAGATTTAATACAGTCCGGCTCCGGCTTCGCTCCGTATTACTGCGGCCATCTCATTGCCTTCCGACCAGATCTGGGGGAAGCGAGTGCCACAGGCGCTAGTGCTGTTAGTAGCAGCGCAGTAGAAGTGCTAGGAGACTAGGAGACTAGGAGACTAGGAGATTTGGAGAGTCTCGGTAGTGGCAGCATCAGCAGGCCAACGTTCGAATCTGGGACCGCTCCAGACCCTTCTAGGGGTGCAGCAAGCGATGCATAACGATTACGGCGGAGCACATGGCCGAGAGCGTGACTGGCCGCAGGTACGGCGGGCTTGTCGCCGGCATACGTCACTTGGGCCAGCGCGGAATTTGGAGACTGGGTTGAGAGATGACGGCGTGGAACTGTCATCTCCATCTCTGCCGCGTTGCGTTCCTCGCCAATACAGTCGCTCGCTGTGCATGCTTGCTTGCTTGAGCCAAGTTGATGCATCTTCTCTACTTGTCAAGTGTGCAGTATAGGAACTCGGACTGGTACCTTATCCAACAAGGCCCGTTATACGGCTACTACCTATATAACATGATTTTCAAGGTCCTTTTACCTTTCTCTACCACGACTAATATACGCACCGTAGCATCTGCCATGGCTGTTGACGAGTACCGCCGGGGCACATGCACCCTCCCGCAGCCACCGGCCATCAGCCCAAGTACAATCCAGGTACAGCTCCACCAACCGCTTTTCCCAAGCGTCCGATTAGGATAAGCGCAGACGCTCAACCGCCATCCTCCAAACTTTGTGCTCAGCGCCGACTCCAGCGATAGGGAATCCAAACCTTTTTTCTACCTTTTTGCGATTTGTCTCCCAGCTTCACCTCTGCGGCATCCCCCTCGCCAAAACGTGCGCCATTGGCATTGTTCCCTCGCGAACCCTTCACCCCAGCCGCAACCAGCTGTCCTGGAATATCGCCGCCGAGGATTCTTGCCATTGCGCTGCCAGCTCGTCATCCGCTTCCTTGAGAGCGCTCTTGCGGGGGGTTTCAAAGGGCCCGAAGGACGACGATGCGCGCCCATCTCGCCGCAGCTGCTTCGTAAAACGCGTTCCATTCACTCGAAACAGGAGTCGCCTTGCTGTGCTTCATCCTCTTTAATAATCATCGCTGCCGTCTTTGTCCCCGTCCACTTTGCGCTTTGAGCCTCTCGGCGCCTCAAACGACCTGGCGCGCGTCATGGATCGATCGTCCGAGACAGCCCCCGATGGCTCCTCACCACGAACTTTCGCCCTCAACCACGTGAGACCCAAGTCCAGCTTTCAGGGCTGCTCGCGGATATCCGATTATGAGCTACAAGGGAAATTGGGTGAGGGTACATTTGGGTATGGCTGGCCTTTGTTCCGCATCTTTAAGCAGCATCCCCAAAGAGCGAGGCTAACGCAATCAACTGTGCCATAGTGAGGTCCACCGCGCTCGATCACGCAAAACAGGCGCACTTGTCGCCTTGAAGAAGATCATAATGCATCACGAAAAGGATGGCGTACGTAGCGATACCAGGTTCACTAGAATCATCGCTTTCCCTCCTCTAACCTATCTCTCAGTTTCCCATTACCGCTCTACGAGAGATCAAGCTGCTCAAGCTGCTATCTCACCCCAACATCCTACGATTGGAAGATATGGCTGTAGAACATCCCACAAGGCAGAGTGAGTTTTAATTTATTTATTTATTTTCCCTCCCTCCCTCCCTCCCTCCCTCCCTCTTTTAATCAACTCCCGCCATTCATTGCCCCATCTCGCTGACCAGGCCACCCTCAGCCGACAAACGCAAGAAACCCATCATGTACATGGTGACGCCATATATGGATCATGATCTCTCTGGCCTCCTCGATAACCCATCCGTCCACTTCAAAGAAGCTCAGATCAAATGTTACATGATCCAGCTGCTCCAGGGTCTGCGCTATCTTCACGAGAACCACGTCCTCCACCGAGATATGAAGGCTGCCAATCTTCTCATCAACAACAAGGGCATCCTCCAGATTGCCGATTTTGGTCTCGCACGTCACTACGACGGGCCAACGCCGAGAGCTGGCCATGCTGTTGGAGATGGTCGACGAGACTACACTGGGCTGGTCGTAACAAGATGGTATCGGCCCCCCGAGCTTCTGTTGCAGCTAAGGCAATACACCACCGCTATCGACGTGTGGGGAGTTGGGTAAGATGATACATGCACCTTTATACTTTTTTTTCTTTTTACTCCTCATGTTTCAGTAAAACTAATGTCTCAGCAGCTGTGTCTTTGGAGAAATGTTGTATGGCAAGCCTATCCTTGCCGGCGAGAGCGATGCCCATCAACTTGAGCTTATCTGGGATCTCATGGGTTCGCCCACTGATGAGAACATGCCGGGATGGAAGAACCTGCCGGGAAGCGACCATTTATCCCCCAGATCACGACCTGGAAACCTTCAGAGCCGCTTTAGGGAGTATGCCTGCCCGATACTGTTCACTTGATCAAACGTCTACACGCCGCTAACTCTAAATTTCTTTCCATAGATATGGCTCTGGAGCAATTTCTCTCCTGAAAGATTTATTAAAATTAGATTGGAGGACACGGATAAATGCCGTGGATGCGCTACAGCACCCATACTTTAAAAAGGAGCCCCTACCCATGGAACCACATCAGCTTCCCACCTACGAAGAGAGTCACGAGCTGGATCGAAGAAAGTTTCACGACCGCAAGGCTGCCCTGCCGCCTGCACCTAAAGGAGGAACGGTCGGCCTGGGACCAGATGCAAATGGAGCAACTGCAGGCTTCAACAGCAGCGACGCATATGGTGGCCGGAACGGTGCCAATGGGGGACGATTCAGAGGCGGCCCGGACGAAAGGCGACCGGCTTGGCAGAGAGACCGAGAGCGCGGCCCTACATCACGGCCTCCCCAAGACCGACCGCCAAATTGGGACGATGCTGACCATCGTGATCGAGATCGGGCGCCTCGCAATCGCGCGCCAGGTCGTGGACCGGACATTGATACATATATCCCAAGCTATGGACGAGAAGAAGGCGGAGGCAATCGCCGCAGGGATGAGGACCGGCCACGGGATGACCGCCGACGCCCTACCAGCAAGGACAGCGGACGACGATATGATAGAGATCGGCGAACGAGGAGTCGAAGTCGCTCGCCTATTCACGATAGGAATCGCGAGAGAGAAATTTATCGACGATGAATGCAACAAATTGGAAAAAAAAAAAAGAAGAAGAAGAAAAAGAAAAAAAAAAAAAACTGGTCAACATCAACATTGCCATACACGCATAATATGTGAGCCATGGGTATGGTCGTTTAATGACGGTAGATGAAGTTGACATACATACATACATACACCTTGAAGCCCCCCTTATATACTTATTTTTATGATATCCCAAGGAAACAGTTTTTTCTTGCACCCTTTTTGCACAGGTTGGACAGGCGTTGGAGGGGACAGAATAAACAAGTGGAAAGGTGTACATGGACCTAGAGCGCTGTTGCTTGCTTATTACCTGCTTGCCTGCAGCAGCGGCAGATTGAAACGGAATAGTTTCCACCACTATATAGATAAATTTATACGGTAGATGATGAAGTAACCTCTCTACTTTTGATAGTGCTTGACGAGAAAAGCCTAGGCAGCAACATAGCCAGTTGGTATGGCGCAGATCCAACCGACGGTGTAGTCATGCGGGTTAGGCATGTTATCGTCTGAACCATAATGTAAAATTCAACAAGTTATAGCGTACATGACAGTAAATTCATCTTTAGTCCAAAGCAGCGGTTGTCCTAGCAAAGTCTTCCACCGGGCTGTAATTCTCTGGCTCGGGCACCAAACGCGTTGTCCCCGCCCCCAAAGAAAGATAACAACTGTTGCATTTGTCCACAAACCCTTGATCCTTGTCAGTGACGCGAGGGGACAACCCAATACGCTGGATGTGTGCTTGTCGTTGACTAATAAAATGAGAAATTTGGTTGAGTTCCACTTCTGGCCCATGTAGTTATAGAAAAGATGATACTGAAATCTAGATATTTATTTCGGGCTTTACTGTAGCAAGTAGGTGTAATTAATAATTGCTTGGTGAACGCCATTGAAGCATTACAAAATGCACAAGAGCTACTATAAGCTCATAAGAAAGAGAAGAAAAATGGGAGAAGAAAAAGGAAGGGGCTATAATTCAGAATCATCCTCTTCTTCAAGAATCGTCTGTGACAACAGCCCGGTTACAGGGCGGCGTCGTGAGGAGGGGTTAGGGTCGGGCCAATACCACTCCCCGTCATTGGAGGATGAATCATCTTTAAGGAGGGGGTCGGATGAAAATGGCGGCAGAGACTTTTTTGTTTGAGAAGCGCGAGAACGAGTCCCTTCGGAGCTGCCGTTGCCTCCATCTTGCATGCCGAGATATGAAGTGATGACGGTTGACGATGTGGCAAGTGTGAAGCCGGCGAAGATACCGACTGCTGCTGCGGTGCCAAGCTGGAAACAGGAAAAGATCAGCATCTCAGTCACCCATAGCATTATGACACCTTTATCTCTATCTTATATATATATATATATATATACCTTACAAGAAAGAAAGAAAAAAGCTGGAGGACTTACAAAGGTGTAAAGCGGCTACATGTTGTATAATGAAGGTGGTATTAGTATCCACTCCTACTAACACGTCGAAACGATGCAAAAACAACAGGCAACAAGATGAACCTTTTTGGCATTTTCTGGCGGGAAGAAACATACCTGGAGAGAGATTATGAAATCAATGACGCCACGGCACCAGCCTACAATATATGAGAATAGGTAGATGGCTGGTGCAAACACGACGCTCAGAGCGCTCAGGAGGTAAGATATGGGGACGTAAGCGAGTCGGATGGGAAACGTGAAGAGGCGACCGATAAAAGAAGCGTAATAGAGGCCGGTGCGGAGGCCATCAAGGACGTGCGAGAGGTTCATTTTCCCTTGGATGGCCGTGTTTATTGCGACGACGCATATGGAGGGGTGTTTTGGAGATTTTGAAGGTGAGGCATGTGAGATGTTTGAGAGGCTCGTAGTATGAATGAAGGGAGACTGAGGTACAATGCTGTTCCTGCCAGGCATGTGGCATGTGGCTGGTGAGATTGTGGCGGGGCTTAACCTGGAGCGAGGAGGAAATGGCAAGATTTTTGCAAGCTTCAGTTTTCATTTTTGTTTTTGTTTTTTTCTTTATGCAAATGTGCACTGTGTATATGTATTTGATTAGAAATTCAATGAAGATTTTGTTGGTTTCCATGTTAGTTGGTGGAAATGCGGTGATACAGAGGCGCTGTTGCTCTGAGCTATTTGGTGTATGGCAAAAATGTAATAGATACTACGACCCCTGAGAACACAGCACATCCAAGTGCATGATGGCGTAGCGTCACGGCACGGTACCTTTGATGACGAAACTGCAGTGCGTATTGGACACTGAAGTAGAGTACTTAGGTACCTGTATAATATTAAATGTTATGAAAATATATATTTCTGGTTACCAGGTAGTAGTTTCAATTGTAGTGCTGAGAATTGCATGAGGTAGGTAGTAGCAAATGCACCTTCCTCCAACAACCTTGAACGTCACACATTTCTCCTCAGGCATCACCGTGTCAATATATTAATTCGTCTACTGAGTCATTATTCATCAGATTGCTCTCTTATTACTTTCATTTGCCTCTGACCTTTACTTTTTACTTCTTTGCTTTCTATCCTCGCGTCGAGACTCGATCCAAGCGCGTGTGATTCGAACAAGTCGGTATCCCAACCCTTGCTAAATTTTTTTTTCCCTTTCTCTTTCAATTATTTATTTTTACTAACATCAGGAATCCAAAGCCAAAATAATGGCCGGCACCTTGAAACTGCGACATAATTCGCTCTCCTTCAACCATAACCTAGTCGTTCACTCGGTGTATGGTCCGCTCTTCACCAAAGTGAGAAAGAAATAACGCTTCAACGTGTCATAAAAAGAACCTAGACGACCCATCCAAATGACGAATACCCAATACCAACCATGTGCTGTTCTGATCTCCAATATGTGTGTTACCCCAAGAGGAAATCCACGTAGTTGGGATGCAGTCTTGACTTCTCGACTCGTACGCCAAGATGGCAAATCTGTGGCAATGGATCACTGTTCATGCCTCTTCACAGCGTCAAATTTAATTTTTCTTTCCTCGATAAAGCAGGCTTTTGGTAAGAATCTCCCCCATACCGCCATACGATGCTGGAGCTAACTCTCAAGCTATCGAGGCTGATTTAGTTTCGAATCTTCTGCTAGACTACAGCCAAAAGGTCATGTTCCTCAAGACGCAACGTCCACAGATGCCTGGTATTTGGCGAATGTGAAATTTCGCATCGATTTTTTTTTTTTTTTTTTTTTTTTTTTTTTTTTTTTTTTTTTTTTTTTTTCTTTTTTTTGGCGTTCCTGAGAGACAATGCCTACGATGCCAGAGACAATCATGCATCACCGTCTCGCACTCAAGGCAAGCCGGGATAGATCTGATATTGTTGTTATTGCTAGGTCGGCTTGCAAAGGAGTTGAGCGGCCTAGATATTGTTTTTTTTCTTCTATTTCTTGGGAGATGGAAAAATAGGTATTTACTATAAGAGCAAAGCTTTCCACTGTTAATAATAACAACAAGAAATATACCTACAAAATAGTCTCCTCCCACAATGCTGTTGTGAGTCGGCAGTGCCAAATGCAGTACGGAATGCTCCACTCAAAAGGTACCTCGATTTGTTCCTCTTCATAGCGCCGTTCTCGTACAGTCATTTAGTGTTGTCATCGTCATAACGCCGCCCGAAATGTCTCAGATCAGGTAGCTCGCTCTTTTATCTGGGTAGAAAGAACTTTGCCGCATGCCAAATATTGGCATAAACTCAGAGTAGCCAGTACATTGATGTCAGTGTTCAAGTACACACTAGCGCGAGTGAGCGAGGCTCAAGTGCTTGAAAATGCAGCCTTGAGGCTGCTCCAAGCGGGTACGTACCTCTGCTGTGCTGCTCCGCAAGCCCCGCGCGTGACTGCAGCTGCATCTTCCCCCACCCCGAAAAACCACGGCGTCAATCCTACTGGCCAGCTCCTCCAACCCACGATCGTCTGTTCTGCACGACTACGGGCGGTTACGACAGCTGAAGACCGAAAGTTAGAGGTAGAGTCCCCCACGAGCATCCCGTTTTTGCTGTCGGCGCTGTGCTGGCCTGCAGAAGCCGTCCGAAAAAGGAATCCTGGAAGCCTGGCGAGCGAGCGAGCAGATTGCCGGGGACAAGGCCCCTCTTCTGGCATTCTCGTTGAGTGTTTGCTTTAATCTCTACTAGATTAGAGTCCACTCAGACGGGGACCTGGAATTGGCCATTGGCTAGTTGGCGGGACGGACTGATTAATGCTTGACTGACGTTCTGCGCTATTTGGGACATTCGATCTGGTGCCGGCAAATCGCCTTGTGAGATATTACCGCTGCTACCTGGTATTGCCGCTAGCATCACCACTTTCACACTCGCGCTCCTCGCCGGCCCCCAACCATCCAAACACACATCACAGGTCTCTCACCTGATCCGGGATCCTCTTCCTGACGCAGTTGCATATCGAGAACAGGGCCAAGGCCGACGACACACTCGCATCGAGATCCCTCCCCGCCGCCCAAGGCACAAACCCCCACCGCCATTTCATCCTCTGAGCACGCCGCAATCCAACCACGTTCGTCCGAGCATCGTCACGCGAGACCTCACCCCCCATCTGCCGGTCCAGCCCTGGCTCGCCAGCTCCGAGCGAGAGCGTCTTGTGCAACGACAAGCCGCCAACCGGTCGCCTCTGCAACCCCCCTCTGCTCCCGCTAGCAGCCCATCCTCGCTGCTTGTCTGGGTCTGGGATTGTTGTTTTTCTCATCTCTTTCCCGGCTCGCTTCCATCTCCCTGCGGCCACCCCTGGTCGGGCTCCCGAGCCATGGGTAACAACCATTCGGCGTCCAACAAGGCGGGCGGGCCTGGGTCGACGCCGCCGCAGGCGCCATCGTCGCAGTCAGGCGTCGAGTCCCCTCGCCATCACCACCGCAAGGACGGTTCGCGCAACATCATCCCCATCCATCGCGCCGCCGCCGCCCCGGAGTCGTCGACGCTCCAGGCCCAGGGCTCCATCGCCGCTTCCGTGCCCAAGCCCAAGAGCGTGCCCACCACTGCCGTGTCTTCCCTTAGCGGCTCGCCGCACAGCAGCACCGTCTCCTCCGTTGCCAACGCCGCAGCCGCCGTTACCGCGGCCGTCGTCGCGGGCAGCCCTAAGCCATCCTCGCCACGGCCCATTATCCGCGACGAACCTTCCAAGCCCGTCGCTGTTCCCATCGAGGGGTCCTTGGTGCGCCCTCAGATCCCCGCCGTGCCGCCGTATCTCGAGGCCCAGCTCTTCTCCAACAATAGCCTTACGGACATGTACATGATGCGCCCGCCTCGCCTGCCGCTTCCTATCGAGGAGGAGCTCCACAGACCTGGCTCGCCCATTGCCGGCCCCGATGAGAACCTCACCGATCTCGAGCTGGGCGAGACATCCGATGGCTTAACAAGAAAGAGCTCTGGGCTTAGCAACGGAACGGTTGAAGATGATGAGGGCGATGAGCTACGTGTGGACAAGACCGGGCGGGTGGTTCCCACCAAGATTGTCTGGAACGGTGGAGGTGAAAAAGTCTATGTGACTGGTACGATTTTCCAATGGAACAAAAAGCACCGGCTACTTCCTGTGTAAGTTTGACATTGCCTATGAAAAATTAGACTAGTAAGCAGTCGTATCTGGCCGCCTTCAGGAGGCTTCCGTGCCTTGCACGTGCTTGAAGCTTTTTGCGCCCGTTTAGCTCTCCCGCTGATTGTTTTTGACTTTTGGCTTGTACTAACGTATTGTGATGACGGGATAGTGAGGGCCAGCCTGGTGTCTTTGCCGCCACCATCTACGTCTTGCCCGGTACGCATCACATCCGCTTCTTGGTGGATGGAATTATGCAGACAACGTCTACTCTTCCCACGACTGTCGATTTCGGAAACAACTTGGTAAACTACATCGAAGTCAGATCAGAAGACTCATCGGCAGTGAAACAAGGCGAAGCTGGGGAAGCTGTTGAGGCTGGACAAGAGAAGGAGGCGGCTCAGAATGAATCGCAGTCCAAAGAAGAGCTCAAGGTGGCCAAGCAGAAGCTTATCTTGCCACAAGAAGCCTACAGTAGCCAAATTCCACCATACCTACTCGATTTCGACCAGACCGAGGAGTCGCCAGCCTACCGCAATGCTGAGAGTGCGATTGAGAAGATGGCTACACCACCCAGCTTACCTGGTTTCTTGGGCAAACCAATCCTCAATGCTGCTACCCTTATGAAGGACGACAATAGCGTCTTAAATATGCCGAATCATACTGTTTTGAATCACCTTGCTACGAGCAGCATTAAGAACAATGTCTTGGCCGTTTCAGCGACTATTAGATATCGCAACAAGGTTAGTGAAACGAGACGAGGGAAAGAGAATCGATAATCTAGCGTGTGTCTGCTAACTGCTTGATTTTACTCTATAGTATGTTACTACAATTATTTATAAGCCTACTTCAGCGGATGAAGGTTAAAGCTGGCTTGCTAAAATAGCATTGGAAATGGAGAATGGAGAAAGGAAGTTTCTATTTTGGTTAAAGAGAGCTAATATGTATTACTTTGCCTTTTCTTTTTATTCCCCCCTGTATCACCCTTTATTACAACCTTTTTGATATAGGGAGGGCCTTTTCTTTTTGACACGATATGCATTTATTTACATGAGATGGTGGGGTGGCAACGAGAAATGCTACGAGCCATGCCGGGCCATGCCACATTAGATCGCAAGCTTCTATAGCTGAGCTAGCGGATGTTGTTGAGATCTAATAAGGGGTTCGCAATTGAACCAACACGCTAGATGGGTGGACAAGATGTACGAAATATCTACACAATATACGGTACAAGTTTACTTATTTCTATTGACTTTTTTATGTTTATGTTCCTGACAAGTCTTAATCCCTCCACTCGACATATACATCATCTGTTCTAAACCTCTGCGTACACACGCTCTCGTCAAGCGGCGTGCGGAATCCCGTTCTATAAGCCAATAAACCGGCATGGGCAATCATGATGCCATTATCAATGCAGAATCTCTCATCCATGGCAAAGACACTGCCACCTCGCTCCTGGGCCATGCTGGCAATCATTTCCTGCAGCCGCTCGTTGCAGCCCACGCCACCGACGATGAGGACCTGGCTACTGCCCACGTGCGCCATGGCCCGCTCCGTAATCTCAACCAGCATGGCAAAGATTGTCTCCTGCAGAGAGAAGCATAGATCCTCGACAGTGAAGCCCGCACCATCGGGTCCGCGCTCCAGCAGCTGCGCGGCCAGGGCCTCCGCGCTGGTGAGGATGCCGGAGAAGGAGCAGTCCATGCCCTTGACAATGTAGGGGAGCTCGAGCAGCTGCTTGCCCTTCTTGGCCAGCTGCTCGATGTTGTAGCCCGGCGCGGGGTCGTTGCTGATGTTGAGCACGCGGGCGAAGCGGTCGAGGCAGTTGCCGACGGCGATGTCGAGCGTCTCGCCAAAGATGCGGTACCGCTTCTCGGCGTAGGCAATGACCTGGGAGTTGCCGCCGCTGACGTACAGTACGACGGGGTTGTCGGCGCCGGTGACCTCGCGGCCCATCTCGATGTGTCCGACGCAGTGGTTGACGCCGACGAGGGGCTTATCCCAGAGGAGGGCCAGGGTGCGCGCGCCGATGGCGACGCTGGTGAGGGGCGCGCCCATGCCGGGACCCTGGGTGAAGCAGACGCAGTCGACATCGGCGGGGGAGATGCCCGCTTCGGCGATGGCGCGGCGGGCGAGGGCGACGAACTCGGTGCGGTGGTGGAGGGCGGTGTCTTTGGGGAGGAAGCCCGTGCCTGGCGGGGAGATGAATGTGTGTCGCAGGTTGGAGAGGATGGTGGCGGAGGTTGGGGTGTGGAGGATGAGGCCGATGCCCAGCTTGTTGGCGGAGCCTTCGCAGCCGAGGGCGATCCAGGAGGATTTGTTGGACATTGGCGGCGTTGATATTGATGTGGGAGATGTGATGGATGAGGTGGTGGGTTGAGGAGGAGGGGGGAGCGGCGAGGAGACGGCGGCGGCGGCCATGTTGGAGAGAGGTTGTGGGTATAGGGCTGTAGACGCAGAACTGAATCAAGCTGAAGTCGTCTATTTGCGATTTATGCTTGCGCCAGGTTGGCGAATAGATGGCCTCGTGTTTGATATCTCGAGTTTAAGATCTTGACGACAGGGTATCGCTGTTCTATGCGTTTTATTCTATATCTTTCTCTGAGGGCTAGAATTTAGATTAGCTTAGACCGGAACAACTTTAATATGTAAGTGGTTTAAAAAAGAATAATATCAGTTTACACAAAATACATACCCTGTCAAGGCAACTTGTTAATTAATCGTAGATGGTGATGGTTGATTCAACCCAAAGTTTTGACGTTCAAAAAAATAGAGGGGTTCTGTGCCCGAAACAGAAATTAGCGGGGCGCCTTGTCATGGGCGCTCTCTCTCTCCCTACGGCAATACAAGTAGTTAGGTACGTACCTTTCCATACTTACCTCATACCACACATCTTCTTCTCCCCAAATTTTGTCATCTTCCGCACTGCATGCACTACAACCTGGGCTAGTACCTAATGTAGTGCTGCTACTACTACCTTCTGTTCCTACATGCCTCGGGCAATGTCTCTTCGGTTTTCCGGCTCAGTTCATGCTTTGCGCTAATGTACGTGTTACAGGCGCTTCTTCTGCCCGCTGCAGCTTCACACGCGGGTGAATTGGGAGCTCCTCGTGCAGGTATGTACTGATACTAGGTAGTGGTTACTAATTTATCACATCTCGTCTCGGCAAAAGGCGCCGTGTTGCCTTATGTAAGAACTGCGTCCCCCGTTTCTTACAGCTAATCTACCTGCTGTTTCAAGGTTGCACCGCCTTCGTTCCTGTCACAGCTGGTATCATACAATCAGGATCCCAATGTCCTGTCCTGCATGGGTGCCTCCAGTACAAAGCAGTACAGAGAGTGAGCACGCAGGAGAAGAAAAAAAAAAAGTGCGTAGGTTTGTTCAGTGCAAAGCTTTCTGTACAGACTTTCCACGGCGCCCAGTTCGGCAAATCGCCCTCTAGCGCCTCTTGTCACCAGCAAAAGCTCGCACTAAAAAGACACCACCTCTGGCCCCGCCCGCTGGCCCTGTACAAATGCCGCAAGTACTCTCCGGCTGCGAATCTCCCTCTCTGGGTACTTGCCGCCCATGTACAGCTACCTAAGCTCTGCCATTCACTCCCAGGTCCCTTGATTTGTGAAAGTGTGTGCTTCTGCTGCCGTTTCGGTGTGTGGACGCAAATCCTCCCACGCTCCCCAAAATAATCCACTTCCAGCCCGTTCCCGCGGTCCACTTCGACCACTCGCTTTCTTTCCCCTCGACTTTTTTCCTTCTAGCAAATCTAGCTGGACACCAGAGGGAAAAAACATTGCAGCAAGAAGAAGAAATTCTCTTCCTTGTCGCCAGTCCTTCACGATGGCCTGAATCGGTGAGACATTGGTTTTCTCAACGGTATGTTTTATGTCCTTTTGTGCAGGGAGAAAGCCGCCCCTTTGAATCTATCTCTCGTTCTGCTGCCATCTCTGACGGCGCCTGCTAACACTAGCCGTGGCAGCAGAAAAAAAAAATTCAGCCGCGAGAGAAGAAGACAGAGCCTCTAGCTACTGCTTCAGCTGGCGAGAGTAGCTATGAGCTTCTCTACAAGCTTGTTCATCGTCGATGTCCATGGCGAACCTCGACCACAGCCGGCGAGTCCACGTTGCGCAGGCCGGCTTTCCCCTCACGTCATCCGCCCTGGTCGCAATGAGGTGAGGTGAGACCAGGCTGCGTCACGACACCACCCGCCTTGCAAGAACAAAAAAAGAGCTCCTACAAGCACAAAACGGACCGTCGGCAATGCCCAGCTTGCCCACCATCGAGACTTATACGGATCATCACGCGAATTGCATGCGGCCGAGCCGAAGAAAAAAGTTCTGTTTTCTGGTCAAAAGCCAGTTCAGGATCTAGTTTGTATCTTTTTTTTTTTTTCATTTGCTCCCGTTGGAGGGCCTCTTCTCTTTCTAATCCTAAAGAACCGACCCCAACTCCCAACTCCTCGCAATGCCCTGATCAAGGCGACTGTACTATACATCGGTGGTTTTTTTTTCATCTACAGCAAAAGATCCTGCCTCCTCCCAACCCTTTCCCCCCGTCCTGTCCGTCCCTGAGAACCCTTCAATACCAGCGTGATTGGAGAAAAAAAGAAAGCAAAAACGAATTATATACACCTCCATACTCATACAAGGATGCAGTACTAGATTCGGCGNGGGGGGGGGGAAGAGAGGGTTCTTTATGACGCCGCCTGCGCTTGCTGAACTGCAAGTTGCGGCGGCGGCGGCGGCTGTGGCGGCGCTTGTGGTGGTGGTGGTAACACCCTATTTCCATTCGCTACGCCATTAACCGCCTCTGGAGGGACCGTTGGCCTCCCCCGGAAGATATATGGACTGAGTGGAATTGTGGCTCTGAACTTGAGCGCTCGCGTGTCAAAGGGATCAACCTCATACACAAGCGGTTCATCATCTTCGTCGTCAGAGTCATACTTCCACCGGTCAGAGTACTCGTACGTATCTGTCCGCGCGGGTGTTGATAGACCCCTCCGATCGATCCAGAGCCGTTGTAGTCGGCCAATGCGACGTCGAAACGCGGGCTGGCTGTTTTGCGGCGTCTCGCCAAAGTCTGCGCCGCGGAATTGGAACACGGGAAGTTCCGGTTTGTCCAATTGCATTGGCTCAGGTGCGTCGTCAATATCCATTGACTCTGCAGAATTTGACGCCGGCGGCGTCATTAGATATTGAGTCTTGGCCGGTCTGAACTTGAGCTCCATGCCCAATTCTTTGACCGGCGATAGCGGATCTCGAGTGAGATCAATATGATTCTGGTTCCACCTTCGGTGGTTCTGCACCTTGGTTTCAATTTCATTACGAAGCTCGTTCTCTTTCTCGGCGAGCTGGTCAGAGAGCAACACAAGATCTTGTTCGTGTGAACGCCCATCTGGCCGCACCGGCACCCGCACTTGTGTGGGCGGCCGCTGAGCTCCGGCAGCTTCTGCAGGCTTGCGCTTCTGAGACTGCTTGGTCATGTTAGTGTCAAGCGGCATTATACGTGTAGGGAGCCAAGCTGGCCTTGATTCGAAACATACCTTTTGGTTTACTAGGTCTTCGTCGTCGCCCTTGATGCCCAGCTTTGTCTTGATTTGCTTCAATCGAGCTCTTTCCTCGAAAATAGCCCGATCCACTTGCAATAAATCTCGTTTCATCATCTCTCGCTCGTACGCCATCAGTACTAGTTGACGGCCATCCTCGAGCTCGCGACGGAAACGCTTGAGCGTCTCGGCGATCTTGGTATCTCTAGACCTTGTTTTCCTTGTTTGTCTGACCTCCCGCCGTCTGAAGCAGACGTATGGGTCAGTATCATCAGTCTCCTGATGCGTCTCAAACTTGATGGTTGCGTGCAGTGGTTTATTTCCTTGCTCCTGCCGCTTGGATTTCCAGTACTCGTATATCTGCTTGGCGTGCAGCAATATGTTTGTAGAGCCAAGCTGATTGAGTCCGGGTACCATCATATCGTAGCCGACAACAGTGTTGTCAACGGCTGCGAATGGAGTCTGCTCGGTTGCGGTGTCCTCAAACACTTCCATGATGCGTTCAAAGTCATCCTCACTGAGAGCCCCGGCGCCGGCCGGCGGATTACTATTATAAGATTTGAGAAACTCATCGTCTTCGGTTGTCATGTCATATTGACAGCTAATACATTCCTCAACTGTCTGAGAAAATCGGATATAAGAGGAAGGTTTGTGAAAGATTGCGGGATAGAGAGCATCATAGCTGATGTCACTCTCTTTTGGAGGCGGTACGGGGATTTCTTGATCATTGCTTGTTCCCGCCTCTTTTAGGATTGACTGAAGATGATATTCCTACACAACGAAAAAGAAGAAGAGAAAAAAAAGTTAGTAAAAAATTATTGTTTCAAAGAAAAGAGAAAGATTAAGAGAAAGAACATAAGAGAAGAAAAAGATGAAGATGATGAAAAGAAACTAGAAACAAAAAAATGAAAGTGATGTGAAAAAAAGAAGAATGGCAAAAGGAGAAAGATATATCTAAATACACGAGTAAGATATACGAGAATGGCTTATACCATCATCGTATCTCTACACACTCTGTATATAGTATATATCGCGAGCAAAGGTAATGTAAGTTAGGGGCGCCAGGAGAGAGACCACGTGACCAAGCACGTGATATCAGAAGTTGCGGTGGCGTGGCAATGAGGTGGTGATGGACTCACATTTTCCTCAGTCTGGTCGACTCCGGTCGCGATTTGCGACTCGGTAAGCAGTGATTCATACTCAGTAGCATCGATCTGATCCTCTCTGAGCACAGGGAGAGCGGTTTTGATAGTCAACTTCTTGACTCGGACTTTGCGGGATGACATGTTGCCAGGGTGGTGAAGGACGGCAGAAAGCCAGCGGAAAATCCGCGAAAAAAGGAGATCAAGTCATAAATCAAGACGTCCGAAGTCGCCTTATGATAAAATTTTGATGATTTAGGCGCTGTGGTTTCGCTTTTTTGATGGTTCAATGCTCGCGTTCGATGAGGTGACGTTGGGATTTGTTTTGCCGCGCGAAGATTTTTCACTGGTGCAGAGCCTGGAAAATTGCGTCTGTTTGATGGCCGCTGTGGCCCGCTGCAAAGTCACTGCGCCGTAGAATTTAGCGGGCGCTGGTACACCGAGGCGCTCGGGCCACCCCCTCCTTTTGCCTCCCTCATCCCCTGAAGTCGCAGCAGGCCCACGCGCTGAAAACAGCACAGCACAGAAGCTGCTAGGCACTTGGGCGAGTGCTATGCGCGCGCCGCTGGTTGGCTAAGCAGCGGCCACAGCAGCCCAAACGCGCCCAGGCCGGAGATGGGCCGAAAGCTGGCATGGTGGCTTTTTTCTTTCTTCTCTTTTTCTCAGCAAGCAGCAGCCTGGGCTACAGAGAATAGCGTACGGCTCCGTCACCGCCTCTGTTGCAAGGAAAGGAGAAACTAGTCTAGCAGGCCTGCGTATTACCTACCGTAGGCACAACTCGATAAGCTGCACAGCCATAGGTAGCTTTCAGCCACAATCGCAGCGACGGCATAGCGGCCTCCCAAACGCGCATGTCTAGGTTTCAACTCTATCTGAATAAAATGACATAATCATCCAACAAGTCCCCTCAGTGAATCATTATCATTTTCAAAGATGCACCAACTTCTGCAGCTTCTCCATGCACAGCCGCATTCGGTATAATCCAGCCTGATGTCTGGTTTCTTCATTCGCAAGGCTGGATGAAGTTGAATGGAATCCATTGCTTATCGCCCAAGGCTGTTCAGCAGCCTCTTGATACAGACAACAGCAGAGAGATGGTCCGTGCACATGACCGCTACCCCTCTAGGAGTCGCCTCGACTGTCTAATATACAGCAATATAATCCGGTGCCTTACTTACATACTCCGTACACAGAACGACATTCTACGACCGCCACCCGCTGCATCCCCAACCGCCGCATAGAACCGGCCTCGTACCGTATCAGCGTTTCTCTCCTTGGACCGCCATTATTGTATCCTTAGCTACACGAGACATTCTTTAGCGCACAAGAGCTGCGCTGTCCTGTCTGACAAGATGGGCAACACCACGAGTACTGTGCTGGACAACATTGTCCAAGGATCCAACTGTAGGCTCCCGCCTCCTTATGATGATTTCGTCCCCGGGTTCAAGTTTGGCTAACTCCGTAGCGCATAGTTGACAGAGAGGAGGTCGACCGGTTAAGGAAACGGTTCATGAAACTCGACAAGGTACGGTTGAAAGAAAGGGGAACCAAGTCAGATCGAACGCTCGGGCTGGGCTGCTTTACACTTTAGTCGCGCCGCGATTTAACAAGACAACACGAGATGGGACATGACGGCACAGACAGGCAGGCTGACCATCTATGCTGCAGGATAACTCCGGCACAATCGAGCGCGACGAATTTCTCAGCCTTCCTCAAATCTCCTCCAACCCTCTTGCGACACGGTTCGTCCGATCTTACCTCATCCCCCGGCGACTTTATACATTGCTTGCCTTCCCTTCATTGGTATATAAATAATAAATAGGTCACGGCTAACTCGACATACGACAGAATGATTGCCATCTTTGACGAAGACGGCGGTGGCGATGTCGACTTCCAGGAGTTCGTCTCCGGCCTGAGCGCCTTCAGCAGCAAGGGCAACAAGGAGCAGAAGCTGCAGTTCGCGTTCAAGGTCTACGACATTGACCGCGACGGCTACATTAGCAATGGCGAGCTCTTCATCGTGCTCAAGATGATGGTTGGCAGCAACTTGAAGGACCAGCAGCTGCAGCAGATTGTCGACAAGACGATAATGGAGGCGGACCTGGACAAGGACGGCAAGATTAGCTTTGAGGAGTTTACCAAAATGGTGGAGAATACGGATGTCAGCATGAGCATGACTCTAGGTGCGTACTTTTGGGGGGGCGAGGCTGGTGATAAGACTTCCCCTTTTTTTATTTTCTTCTTTTTCCTTCTTCTATCATCAGGGAGGGGGTTCTCCCTGTTCTAGACGCCTTTGTAGGCGTGATTGGTGAAAAACAGCAATAAGCTAACGAGCTGATATAGATCAATTTTAAATGTGCGTTGAAAGGGGGTGAAAAGCGGCGTTGGTCTCGGGTAGACACCGCCAGGAAAGCGATTTGTGGATAATGGAAATATAGCAGTTATGATAATGAATATCTACATTCAATTTCTCCTTCAACCATGGCGGCGGACGTGACTCGCAGCTGGGAATGGGTGTCGCAATTGATCGATGCTAATAGCCGTTATGATTTGGTCTTGATAGTGGTTTGAGCCTCCTTCTCCTGGATCAGGCACTTGACATGTCTCTCTGAATCGAACAAGTGCCCTCACAAAATTAGATCGTGGCCGTGGGGTTAGGTGAATTTGTTCCAATCTGCATTCTTCATCCTTATAAAGGAGATGAAATAAGCATCACTAATTTGGATACAGATGGTGCCGGCACCAAGAGAAGAGAATCGCTGGCCATAAAATCCGCCGACCAGGAATCTTTCTGCCTCGCTATAGAGACTTTTAAAAATCTCTTGATCTTAACCAAGGCTATTTCATCACGCATCCTGTAGTGGGCAAGACTGGCTCAATTTTATGTATACGACAACTATATTTATATGGGTATTTTGGTAGCAGCTGGACGAAGTAGCGGTATTAGAGTACACTGGACGGCCAATGGATTTTCCCACAAGCTCCGGGTAGCCTGGACGGTGCTGCTCCCAGCTATGACGAGTGACACTTCGATCGCGATGAAATGAACCAATGACGTGGCGCCCACCAAAAGACATATGAGATGCCCGGCTATCATGCATCTCGCTGTGTCTTGCAGCGGCTGTGGTTCCTGAGGCGTAGCGCAGCCACCATCTCGCTCAAAGAGAGTTGAGTTGTGGCGTTTATTGGCAACAGGCTGATGGAGGTCAAAGGGTGGACCGTCGCACAGCTGCATCTCCTTTGCGTCTCTTGTCAAAGACTATGGGTGTCTCATACTGCGTACATTAGTAGGTACTTACTACTATATTCTGTCTTTTCTACCATTTCTCTCCTTTACACTTCCTCCTTTTTTCCCTCAGCCAAAGGAGATGATTCTGGTTCTTAGTAGATATTAACTAGGTGGAGGATTGAAGGAATGACGACCACTGTCTTGTTTATTTTTATTTTATTAATTTTTTTTTTTCTCTTTTCGATTTTGGCTTCTAAAGGGGTGTAGATACATAGTACGGCAAGAGGTCACTTATGATGTGTCATTTTCGCCGCGACGTCAGTGACCACTGCCCTTTTGCCTGCTTTTCGTTTTTCTTCTTCTTCTGTAGTCTATACTATTTAAAAATTAAAAGGAAAAGAATTAAAAAAAAAAAAAAAATAAAGTAAAAATAAATAAAAATTAGATATTGGGGGAATTGCCTCTAAATGTAGTGATATCTTCTTTTAATCACTACCTTAGGTATGGCACACGCCCACAGATGGTGATGCGCACCATCATCTAATATAAGTCGGCTACTTCGTGTAACACTTCATAATAGCCTTTTGTGCAGCTCTATTGCCTTAACTTGTAGCGGTACTTGGTACCTACCAATCGCTATGATAGGTGATAGGGCACAGCAGGCAGGTGCCGTCATTCTTTACCTGCTCCGTCACTCCTTCCCTTCTCTGCAATACCAGTGACATGCGTCCCTCGAAACCTTCTCGTCTTTTCCTCCATCTGCTGACCTTTTTCTTCCTCTCTCATCATCATCACATTCGTATCTACTTCAAATACAGCAAGTCTCTCCCCTGACTCATTGACAACATATTCTTGTACTACAACAACATGCTAGGCATGCTTCGGCCTGGGATCTGGGGGATCGTCATTTTTGTCCCACCGTTGGCGCTGTGCGGCGAAATGCACAGACTCCGAACCCCTGCACATACATATCAACGTCACATGCAATGCAGGCCCGGGTAAAAATTTACGACAGATCGGAAATCAAGTTTGGACAACCTGGATCTCGGCGCCGTCGAAATGCACCGAAAGCTTACCTTCGCCCTGCCATGCTGAGCACTCCAGTTGACAGCAGCTGCTCATGGGTAGCAGTATCTATAAGAGAGGCAGCCGAGATATGCCGGGGTCAGACCCAGACCCAGACCCAGAGCCCCATCAAGACCTTAGCAACAAGAACTTATCGGAATTAAAGCTAGGAAGCCGCTCACTAGCTGCAGCTATGACCAGATGCCAATACCTACTCTTTCTCCTCTCCTGGCACTTATCATCTTAGCTCAGCTTTGCGGCCACGATAATTAGAGAGCAAACCAACAAGAGATGGTGGCTACATGTAACCTAGCCAAGGCTTCATGCTACCACAGCCTATAGGGGAGTATGGCTACATGGATGAGAAGTCCTACCCTCTACGAATTCTACAAGCATACGCCCGCTAGCACACACCAGCTCATTTCAGGTGACTCATGGGTGGTATCTTTCTGTTCGCCTCACCGAAGCATTGGTTGGGTGTTGCCACTTCTGCTGCTTGCCAAGCGTCTCCACGTATGCAGCTAGAAGCACGATGTTTATGCGTCCATCCACGATTGCCGACGCCCCCAGCTTATGGCAGCCCCAGGAAAGCTGCAAAGAGAAAGGGACTTGCTTCCGCTTACTCTCGGCCACGACGTGAATCTCAGCTGCAGAATGCAGCACTACCCCATGAAACGCTAGCAACAGCTATCCTGGGCTGGGCATTTCCAAGTAGTACCTTGATTCGGCCCCCAAGGTCCCAGCCGCCTCAGCCTCTCGGGTGCTGACTTTGCCCCTCTGCCAGCTTTGTGGCTTCAGTTGGTAAATCTCTCGTGCATAAGAGGGAGCTGTCACGCGCTCCAATAGCTTTCGGGCATCGCAGCCGGAGTGCCATCGTTGAAGCTGGGACATGGGCCACCGCGACAATGCCCCTGGGCAGAAGGGCAAACATGTGCGTTCATTGCGTCACGGGTGACAAAACCACCCAAACAAGATGTCATATGCCATCGTGAATCGTCCTACCCGACGACTTACCCCCCCAATAATGGTGCCAAGTGCCGATTACTAACTGTTATGAGCGGTGGCTGGATCACAAAAAGTCCCTGCAGGATTACTTTAGGCATACAACTCAACTACATAGCCCCATATCTCATCATTCACAAGCTGCTATGCCCAATGAATCTATTCAAGCTTGCCATCTAACTTGTTTGCTATGTACGCAGCCGCTAGCTCTCATGCCACTCCTAGCCGGTTAATACAGCCCGTGGGGGCTCCAACCCGCCATATTCTAGTCCAACTCTAAACCCAAATGATGCATCAAAAAAGAAAAAAAGGTCTGTGAGCTGGTAATCTGTAAAGGCCATTTTTCAAGCTGAAGTGGGGGGAGATAAGAGAGAAAGAACAGAGCATCCGCTAGTCCCGTATCTCTCGCCTGAAAGCCCGTCATTCACCGCCGCCCATCCAGTTCCTTTGGTCCTCCCACGCTTTGCTCGCTCCCGTACTCGTCGTTTCCTATTGTGTATATGAAAATACTCGTCAATGTCGTACCATTTCCTCCAAAGCCTGCCCGTACACAAACAGCATTCAAATAATGCCATGGCATACTTTGTGTTTGAGTGTGCCCATGAATATTTGCGTGTCTTCACACAGAACAGGTTTGTCACTGCCCCCCTCGTGTTCCCAGTTCATTAAGAGGTAGCCAGTAGAGCATACACAGAACGTACCGCTTGATACTCTATGATACTGACTCCCCCCCTGGCGCTCTAGTAGCATCCAAGTCCAGCCCAAAGTAGATGCATCGCCCACCCGAAGAAAGAGAATCCCAATTTCCATCCGCCCATATCCCGCGATACCCAATTATGAAGAAACCTCTTTCTATGTTAACCTTCCATCCGATCCAGCCATGTTCATATCTGCGCTATTGTAGAAGCTGTGTAAAGTTTCCCGTCGTATAATGTACATTTCCCAAGTCGCTAGAAATACAAGGGTACAAGCAAAGTTGAAAAAAGAAAAAGAAAGAACCAAATAAGGAGAGAATGAAAGAGAGAAAGAATGAAAGATGAAAAAGCCAGCTGTCTTTCTTTCTAGTGCCAAGTCGCCAATTTTACCCCTTCACTTATTCACCGTCGCGGTGCAAAGATGTAGGTCGATCAGCGCGATCCTCCGCTTGTACTAGCGTTCGAATCGAGAGAGTCGTAGAGGTCAAGGCATTCTTCAAGAACTAGAATTTGGTCAGAGTCCTTCCATTGTTGAAGAAGGTGTAAGAAGAATGTAATCACATACTGGTCTCGATTCGATCCTCCCACACACCATACTGATAGTCTACCAAGCCATGGCTCTCGATACCATCGCAGAGCCGAATGAGCTCGTCTCCTAGCTTCTTTATTGTTCCCTGGGACATGACCCTCTGTGATCTCGAAAGCTGCTGGCCAGATGACATTATTTCTCTCTGTCGGAAACAGAGAGCAAGCCACGCGTGGTTAAAGTCGTTCCAGAGTTTGATTCGTTCGGCATGAAGGCTAGCGTCGTCTTGGTTGAGCCCTGTTTCGTATGTAAGTACAAATATTGAGCTGGTATTAGATTGTTTAGCTTTCTTCTTCGTACCTAATTCTGTAACCTGCGTGAGCAGCCAGCTAGAGACATTTAACAGTGTTTCAGCAGCCCTCTCGAGAGAGATTGACGAGATATCTTGGAATACAGATCCTAGCTGCCGTTGGTAATTTAGCCACTTCTCTTGGAGGCCAGACGCAGCATAGTCCTGTCCTTCCCCCATAGTGGGATCTGCTGTTCCTGACGTATGCTGCATGGCATTTGCAGAAGGCATGCTACTGGCGTAATTTATGGGTTGGCTCTGTTGATATACTCCGGCTGATGCGCTGCCTCCCTGGCTCGGGTGCTGAATATTTGCTGCTGCACTCCCTGCTTCAGGATTAAAATACGCCGAGGTGACATCCGGTGCCATCATTTGCATTGCCGCCTGCTGCCGTTGCCCAAACTGTTGGGCGTCATAGACTGGAGTTTGTGTGCTCGGTTGAGGTACGTTGTACATCATCATACCCGTGTTGTAGCCCCCGAAACTTTGAGTTTGTGGTCTTGAATCGGCGCCGTATTCCGATCCATACGCTAAAGTCGTTGTCGGCATATTTGTTGGCGTTGAAAAGGCGGCTGTGGGCTCTTGGTAATATGTGCTGTACGCTGGCGCACCCCCCAGACCTCTTGGTGTTGAAGGAGACGCAAGGGGTGCTGATCGAAAGCGCTCAGAGGGACCGCCTACAGAACTTGGAACTTGATATTTCTGTATAGGAGCGCGATAAGCAGGCGGGTCAT